TCGATCTGCACTAATAAGGACTAGACAAGCAAGGCATTGATCACCACCCAGTCATCAATCAATTGTAATTACATCTCAGTCCTACAGGAGGTTAATCACGGCTCGGATAGCTCAGTGGTAACGTGTCTGACTGTGAAGCTGGGTGACACGAGATCGAATCCGCCAGGGAGCACCAGTTCCCTCAAGATTACAGGTACACCTTGCTGACGAGTGCTAAACAGCACGAAACCCGGGTCCAGGGTTTCCTGTTGACTACCTCCAACCACCATCTAAATCTTATCCTTTATATTTGCCAGTAACTGCATATGTTATATTTAAAATCTATAATATTCACGGCTATTTTTGTTAAACAAAAACATGAAAGAATAATTTTTCTATTGATTTATAAATATAAATTGTTTGGTTTGGACGACCGAACTATCCAGCCTAGAGAACAAAACTCCATCAAAATCATTCACCTGAGCTGCAAATCTTTTTCACCAACTCAGTATAAATTATGTTTAGTGTTAAAATAAATATTGAGGCATGAAAAAAAGATTGTGTTAATTAATGATAAAACAAGAGTTGTGTTCTGTAAGACTTAAATTAATCGATTGTATTTATCAAATATGATTCTAGTTTGAGTAATATTGAAAATCAAGGAGAGTTGAACAATTGTTTCATATTAGTATGAAGCTCGTCGTCACTTCGAATCCATGATTTTGTCAAAGTTCAAACACATAGAATTTAGGGTTTCATGATAGTCATTAAAACCAGTGGGTCGAAATACACTGGTGTATGTTACTAAATTCAATAGATTTGAGATATAGCCCGATGACTAATCAATATCACTGGCATAAAATATTGAACTGAACTCCACTAGTCATAAATGAAGTAAGTCCCTAGTGAGCTGACTATTATAGTTTATTTGAAAAGGTTTTGTAGAGATGGCTATGGGATTTTTTAGATCATAATTGTCACATTTCAATCTTTAAACTACTTACTGTTCTTCACCTTAACAACATGGAATGATTCTAATTTCTATTAGTAATAATATTGGTCATAATATTATAAAACAATGGATACTTAGGTCATAAATATTTTATTGTTTTATTTATTTTTCAATTGTTACTTGAATTTATTATCCGTTCTAGTTTGTGAATGTGAGATATGCCCATTGGAAATGACACAGGTGCAACTATTTTTTGTTTTAATTCACTTAGTATTGTTTTACTTGAATCTTCCCATTGATGTTTAGGACTGCACTTGATCAGTCTCCTATTAGCATATGTACATACTGTGCGTATTGCCTCTATATTGCCTAAATTTACAAGCATTATAAGCAAAGATGGATAGTGGCTAGCAGTGGAATCCAGGACGCGCGTTTCGTCCTATTTGGGACTCGTCAACTGGATGCACCTCCATCTCAGAGTTAATGTTCGCTCTGGGACTCAAACACCATCGCCAGAGTGAATATCAACTTTGAGATGCAGGCACATTCAGCTGACGAGTCCCACATAGGACGAAACGCGCGTCCTGGATTCCACTGCTAGCCACTATCCATCTTTGCTTATAATATTTTTTGTTTTCCTTTGAATGCTAAGCTTCTAAATTCATCGTAATTATTTTTATTTTCATTAATTTCTATTTTCTTGAATCATGTGTTCGATGCCGAATCTTTTCTCTCGTGACCTCTGGTACTCTGAGATTCACTGTAACGATTTCATCTTTCTTTGTTAATAGGAATTGACAAATCGAAACGATATACATACAAATCAGGTTCTACGTTACAACTTACGTGTAATTTTCTGTCCTTATAACATTCTTAGAAAATTGTTAAGTCATTAAAGAATCACCCGTGTTTGTTATCTAATTGTACACAACTAATTATGGTCCAATTACATATTTAATCTCTAAACAGTTGTTTTATATATAATCTAGAATATGGAGAAATCTAGTAACATAATCCATAGTACATCCAAGTGTATTGTAGTTGTATTATTTTCCTTATTGTTTTTCTATATATCTCAAGCTTAGTGGCATTTCAGAAGTTTCGTTCCATTTAATCCATTTCTTTTTAAAACATATAATTTATGTTTATATTTCCATCGGAAACTATGTTGTCATTTCCCTTGTTAGATATTTTTCTTTACTATGACATGTGATATATCCATGTTAGATCGATAACTTACAGTTGTTTTATGCTTGATTATAAGCCTATGTGTCAGAAGATAAAATTTTTTAGAATACAATCATTAAAATAAATAAATATTGTGTTCAACTGAACTAGATAACTTGATTACGGATTTGTTTTGTCATTTTGGACAAGATTATTGTTGCCTACATCAAATAAGAGTGAACCTTTCAGTTACTCTATGAGTATTATATAAAATGAAAACAACAGAACATACCAAAGGCTCACATATACTAAATAGGCTATCATGACGAAGTAATGTTGCATTTGTAGAATAACTTAACGATCACTTTGTCGATATCCAGGACTAATTTTCAATTTGTCTTTTCTAGTGTGTGTGAGTTCTTAGTAGATGTCTCGATATTACATTTGAATCTTCAAATTTTAGTGTGTTTGAATCGTGCATTTTAAATTCGTCTGCTCTTCCTATACTTAATACTAAACTCTGTAAATAAAAAGGAAATATTATCAAATCCATTCAGGAGAAAGTACGAATAAACGAACAATAATGAATGATAGACTCACAATTTGTTATATATATAGGATTACACAGAAGTTTCGATAATGAACTTGTTCAAAAGGATTTCATTTAACAATAGATTATTTTCTAGTCACATATGAAATCGATTTATAATGAATTATGTCGGGTATTTCAAACAACGATAGAAAGAAAGAACAGTTCATAGAAGACATGAATCAGATTCTTCAAAAGCCTGATATGTTCGTCTATTACCGACAGTTAAATATGCATGATTATAAAGTTTAATGAACACAAAATAGAGACTGATTAGCAATCAATTCTACTTGTAGTGAAAGTTCCAAATGAGAAACAACACATTAATATCATGAGTCGATCAATGTTAGACCACTGTTAAAAATCTGGAAGCACCAGACAGTTATTTAGTCCAAGTATGGGACTCCACAACAGTGCGTATCCTCCACGACCACCCCAGTTGGGAATGGAACACACGACCTTTCATCTCTCGAGCAAACACTTAACCTCTACATCATTGAACTGACATCCATACTAAGACTAAAGAAATGTGATGTCTGAGCTGGTCGATTAAGTCGCACAGCCTTTATTGTCTTTTTGAACATCATGAAGTAAGCGTTAATGATGTCTAGTATGACAATAAAGACTTTTATTCAACTTAAGATTGTAATATTTAAAATATGTTCGCACTTTTTTTCTCGTTTCTAAAAAAAAATTGATTAAATTAAAATAATTATTATTGTTGAATGGTTACTATCTATTTAACTGTTCATTGATCTTTCGGGTCAATACACAACCACAATATTGGAATTTATTAACCAATGTTACCTGACTATTTAATGAGATCACAATCCATATATTTGTACCTCATTAAAGGTATTCTAATTAGTTTTCATTTATTTTAATTCTATACACTATATAATATAGGAAACAAAGAATAATAAATAAATGAACATCGCGGAATTGCAAATCTGGTTCAAACACCGACACAGTTGTATATATATAGGGGAATAGCAGTTAAGAAAGACTTAAACAAAGTAGTTCATGAAGAATTACTTGGCTATGTAAGGTTTCATTTTTACTTCATTGAGCAAAAGAAAAAAGCAAATTGCTGTATAATGTTAAATCAGGCTTGATTATCAAGAATGTGATTAAGCTAATTGTTGTAGCTGTATATGCGTGTGTGTGTGTGCAATATATTTGTCATCAAGAATAATATTTAACTCGATAAATCTTCTGATTTGTTATTATTGTGCTAAAAGCATTTTGATAATGATGTAATTTACTACTAATAACTTCTATTTTAAGTTTTGTTAGAGGTATGTAGGCGGTCGTCACTTATTGGACGCATTTATCATGGAAGAGTACTTCTTCTTGACGTACCTTAGAAAGAGGCTGCGTTAGTAGTGGTCTTGTCAACCTAGAAGTGTGACCATAGCTCATAGGGGACAACTGCTTAAGGCTGTTCATACACAACCTTTGTTTGCAAGTTGTTCTAGATGTGTTTCGGTCATACTTTAAGATCTTTATCATGAGTAACGGTAAACTGTGGGTCTAGTTAAGGTATGACATTTTATTTACTCTAACCCCCTCTCTTTGTGAGTTGGGAGAATTACCTCAGATACTAGTTGTTTGAGTGGAACGCCTTATTGCCACTATGATCCAGTACTGTCAATTGTATGACCTAGCCCCAGACGCCAATTTTTTAGTCTCCTCATCTTATAATCTACATGTGTGGCATGATAACATCTAAAGAGATAAGTTTCCCAGCTAATATAACCTGATTGAGTTACCATATTATACAACCCCTAACCATCACTTCGAGACAGCAGCTATAGTTGGGAATTAGGAGATTCGAATTATTCCTAATCTATGGAAGTATAGATAGACCTATTAATCTTCTCAAATTTACTCGGTTTACCGTTTCATATATATATATATATATATATATATATATATATATATATATATATATATATATATATATATATATATATATTGAAATTGTAAATTTGTGATTTGGTAGTTGTGATATTTAGCTTTTACTTGTTTGGTTATGTAGATTTAAATCATCCAGTTCTGCTTACCTCATTTTATATATTTAGTTGATGGGATAGCTAAATAGGTATCAACTTATGCATGTGTACTAAGGTCGAATAACTTGACGTTTTGAAATGGATATCTAATATGATTTTTAAATGATGAAATGAGTTGTTTTTTCTTAAATATTTAACATAGTTTGTATTACCTGTGTGTAAATCAGTACAAAAATAAAATGGGTCATAATAATAATAATAATCGTTGTTTACTGTTTTTTTTAATTTTATATCTTAGTGTGTAATCTACTTGTTTAGTTTGAAAATTCTACATCCACGCAGTCTGTTTCTTCTACGTGGTAATCATGAATGTCGTCATTTAACACAATATTTTACATTCCGACAAGAATGTAAGTGTTTTATTGATATCATTATTATCATCACTATTATTGTGATTAGTGTTTTTATATTCTTTAATTGAATTCTTTTGAGAATAAAGCCTATATTAAACGAAGAAAAGGTGTTGAACTTACGCTGGTTTTTCATAGAGTAGTAGTAACCAATACCATTGCTATAACTGTGACGGCCGATTTGAGGGTAGCGAATTATCGATCGAACCAAAGACGCGCAAACACGTAGAAAGACCTAGGGTTCTGATTGGCCCCGCTCCCCTGTCTAGCCCAGCAATTGAGTCCAGAACGCAAGTCTCAGCCTCGGATATATAAATCATATTTCAAACATACTTTGTTTATATACCAGTCAAGCAGACCACAACGTACAATGAAATAGAAAATAACACTGTACAATATTGACCAGTAGGAAAATGATACGTTAAATAAATATTGACCAATAAGATGATACCACTTTATGTCCAAGGATAGCATTAGGTCTAACAGGATAATTTTTGGGATATTTTCCTGAATATCCCAACAACCATATTAAAAGCTAATTAAGAAATAAGTAAATTACCAAATCTTGGTTATGAAGATGCTCAGTGTTGGTAAACTTAAGAAGAATAAAGAACAGGACCTGTGTTTTATAGAGTCTTGATATTTATAATCAAAGAATTACAACTGTATATGTCTGGGTGCTTAACAGTTTCCCACTCCATTCTTAACCATTAATCCTAGTCCTTTGTCAATATCCTAACACAAACTCAAGTTTAATCCTAAATCCTAAATGAAACCTTTTATCGAGTTTTTACATATCTTCACTTTTTATTAGTTGAAAGCGAGCTTTACTGTCCCAAGATCATTTTAGAAGTCACTAGAGGTCTTCATTAAAGTCTCCTTTCATCTATTTCTCTGATCCTTAGTACTAATCGAGCGTTCTGTTACTCATCCATAGTCTATGTAACTTTAAGCTGCCTTATATCTGATTCCAGTTATATTGCATGATGATCACTATCGATATATACATCCCGGCTACCCTCGTATATAATCGTCGACTTAAATTGCGTCAGTGAATAACGGAGTTAAATAAGTCAAATATGAGAATGGATTTCCAATATGTATATTTCATACAATTGTTGATCCAGACAGGTGATCAGAGAAACTAAATAATAGGCGGTGGAGAAGGCGAGTGAGCCAAATCGATTTCATCAAGCGTTATCTAATATTTATATTCAGACAAAAATAAATCAGACACGTAATGAATAGGGTATGTAGTTAACACACATATGACCATATAAAAAACAGTCGGGCTGAATTATGTGACCGTGAGACTGAATGAGTTCTTTCAGTTGTAACCGATTTGGTCTCACGATCAAAAATTGTCCTAATGGTCGACTAATAATCGACTCAGTGGAGGCTGATTGATTTGCGAGAATATAAGACAACTCTAGTGAAAAAACTGTAACTGAACTAGCTAATGGTGCATAGCTATGCTCACTCGATGCACAATAAAGTAAAAAAGAATACAATGTATGCCGAAAACAGGTCATTTAGGGTGAAAATCAGAATAATAATCTTATGACTAGAGTACAATAATAGTTTGAGGATCGAATAAGATATAGCGATAGTTTATAGATCAGACAAACACTGAAGATTAGCGTTATAAGACAAAATTCATAACCCAGTTGTTCGTAATATCACATAAACAAATATCTTAAAAATAGGTTATCCGGTTTGTCAATTTTCCTGTTTTTCTCGTCATAACACCTCTTCATACAAATAATTCTTCATTTATTCTGTAATGTAGTTTTAAATAAGACGAACCCTTTTCCATTAACTGATAAAATTGTTATCACCATGGGGATTTATGGAGATTATAGCATTTTAACAGTTGACTTCACGAGTCAATGTAAACTAAGCCATCGTTGAAAATAATGCCCTAGTGATTAACTTCATGATGGGTTTTCTGGAGTTCTAGTGAGAAGCCATGACCATTGGAGTCCAATCTGTGTCGGGTGTGAGACAGTTATCCGCCTCAAACATTGGATGTAGAATCGCGCAAGATCATGGATTGATTGGAGTTGGATATTAACACGGTCGGATCTCGGCTTAGTGGTTTAGATTTTAAACGTTCGCGCGCGAAACCAAGTGTCCTGTGTTTGAGTCCTGTTTGTGGAATCGTGGATGCGCGCTGCTCAGGAGCCCTATATATGGACGAAACGACCGTCTAATGCTTCCAGATTTCAACGGTGGCTTAGCGTACATTGACTCGTGAATTCATCTGTCAAAATACTACAATCTCCACAAATCTCCATACTGATAATAAATGTTGTTCTAATCTCTCAATATGATTGTTCAACTTATCACAATTAATAGATCTTATCAACACTTTTCCAAGAATATATATTTAATAAATGTATACATTTTTTGTGCTTGAACAATATTAGGTATCATGAAGAGTACGGAACATGTTTATGAGGCTTGTATGGAAGCATTTGACCTTTTACCATTAGCTGCATTGATCAATCAACAATTTCTATGCGTACATGGTGGGCTATCACCTGAATTGCATACATTAAATGATATACGTAAGGTAATGTAGTGTTTCTTTTCTTTCGTTGTCTTATTGTTTGTACTTATTTACTTTGTTACATCTTTCTAACTATTTATTTCGAAAATACATGGTATAACTGACAAGTTGAATAGTCATCTACTTTAGCGTATAGATTAGTTGAAAATTAATTGACAACGTTTATTGATTCAAAGGCTAGGAAATCATTGTAGGATAACGAGTGTCTTGAGTTTGATAATCACTTGGATTGTGGTTGCACACTGTTACTGAGGCTTTCCATATTGAGATGAAATAGCTGCTGTCCAGTGCTTCCTGGTTTTCGATGATAGTCTAACTATTATCAATCCCTAATGCAAACTATGAAAATATATTTATCATCCATTAATCTGTTTTATAGATACTCAGTGATTTTAATTGATCCTCGTCTTTTTTTTAGTCTTTCATAACATCAAAACTGATATATTGATAGGTTTGATAGTGTGTGTGTAGATGAGATAGATTGGGAAAGGCAACGACTTAAATGGCCCAAAAATCTAGAGAAATATTTGATCATAGCAAGCAAATAATTTCTGTTTGTTACATAATATGTGTGAGGTAGTGTTTTAGCCTCTGATATAACACATCATCACCATATTGAAATATTTCCATGCACAAAAAGAGAATATAATGCCTGTTTAATCTCACCAAAACTGTTGGAACATTGTCGATGAGAAGTCTCATACTAGAAAAAGACGACTTTTTATCGATCTTATATGTTTGAAACTGTCCTCTCCCTCTCTCTTTTTCTGGTCACTGATCTGTAATGAGAATTAAATGTACGCAGGGAATTTTTTTCCATTTTTCAATAAGAACTATTTCAACGTTAGTCAATGGGATTGGAGTATTTTTCTTCGTTCAGTCGACTGTTATCAGTGTTTTATTTGAACTAATTTTTAAATTCATACTTTTACGATGAATTGATCACTGACTGAGCAGTAGTGACCAATTATCACGTTTATATAGTCCATTTTTTAATCAAGTTACAATGTGGCTATTACAAGTCTAAGGAACAGTCAATATTGTGTACACTATGTTAAGATGTTCGATAGTTGATGCTAGTTGTCAGTAAGCCGTTTTTAACCCAAGTTTTATACTGCTTGGTACTTGTCCAAAGTAAAGTGTACCGTCAATTTTGAAAGAACTAATGCTACTCTTTGGTGTAAATTCATTTCATGATCAATCGCAGTTATGTACAATTTAATAATAGTGTCAACAATTTACAGATCTTATACAATAACTTTCATTGTTTTTCTTTTTCTCAAAGTTGGATCGATTTAAAGAACCACCAGCATTTGGTGCAATGTGTGATTTATTATGGGCTGATCCATGTGAAGATTTTGGTCAAGAAAGAAATTCGGAACATTTCAGTCATAATACAGTTCGTGGATGTTCATATTTCTACAGCTTTAATGCATGTTGTCATTTTTTACAAGCTAATAATTTACTGTCTATTATACGAGCTCATGAAGCACAAGATGCCGGGTTAGTTGTTATGTTTTTTTTTAATCATTTTATCATTAAACTAATTAAGAAAAAAGAATGAAGACAATTCTTGGAGAAAGTAGCTTTCTTTTCGTCGACATCATTTTCTGAAGCTGTACAATCGTAATGTTTATAGGTAATTTTTTAAATACATGTAATAGTCTATGGGAAAACAGAACAGTTTTACAAAATTGTCAAAAATATCCAAAAATTTTGAAGTGGTATTACATAATATGATCAAGATTATCAAAAGATTTCAAGTATTGAACAAATCGAAGAGGTGGAAGTTGTACCATTTGGTAAGGTAATCAGAAATCATTAAGACTTAAAGTTGTGTAGTAGTGTTGGAAGTAGGAAGAAGTAATAATTGATAGAATAAAATCAGAAGATAACTGTCTGCTTTACGAAGTAGAAAGTGAAGAGTAAGGAAATAATTAGTACTTGCGATTTGTAATATTCGGAGAGATGCTGAGACAACATCATGGGAAAATGAGGGATTAAACACAAATCTTTTGTACCCAGAAGTCGGGTTTGAAATGGAGAATAAGTATACTCTCCGTTGTGCATAAGTTTCTTATTCAAACCTTTTTTAGAGCCATTACGTTTTACTTTCTAGAGGATTTCGAACTATGATTCACGTGGTAGGATGTGACCCGATTATCTTGATTATATTGTGCAACACTAATTCCTTGACTTTCACGTCCATTAATTAAGTTGGACTGTCTTTAATAATTTTGTAAGACTCTTCTTCTTTACCGCGGACTATCACCTATATAAAAAACTACCTATAAATACGATTGTACGTCTTCAGAAAATGATATCTTCATAAAGAAAGTTGTCATCACTGAGAACTGTCTTTATTCCTTTCAGTGATTCTGTGACTTTCTTTTCGTTAAGCAACTGTTGATCACTTTTCATATTTACACTTCCAATAGTTTTTTTGGTAATTTTTCCATTATCTTTTTAACAGGATACATTTTGGTGGTTTTCAGTTACTGTATTTCCGGAATATAAAACGTTTAAGTCAAAATACTTCTGTTTAATGGTAGTAGAAACTGTAATAAGTTTCAAGGGAAAATGTAGGTGAAAATGTTTCAAAGCATGAAGTTAAGTAAAAATCGAATACATACACTGTATTGTAATAACTTTCAAAATATATCAACTAAGTTCTTTAATCATACCTTGTATATATATGTGGTGTAAGCTACTTATGTTGACAGATATGAGTAGTACGTAATACCGACCACAAGTGGAATTCCTGGCAGCAGAATTTTGAGATCGGATCGAAGAGAACAGGAATGTCAACAGAGAGTAATTGTAACAATAATTGGAATGAAGGAACGATGAAGTTTGTTAGAAACAACTGGTAGTTGTGTAAATTATGTATTTCATATAAGGTTTTCACATTTTAGGAAAGCACTGTAATTTTGCACTAAACTATAAATTGGTCTTTCCACTTGAGTTCTCACTTACTACATAGCTATCCAACACTTCATAGTCTCCATTGGTTATCTAATTAAAGCCAGTCCGTAATGTAAACTTCAGTAAAGGGAAACCGATGAAGGGCTTTTTAGGTCATATGTGTTATAGGCTGATCATATTTAACGATGGTACCATTAAAAAGCGAGGACTATTTGGAAGCTGTCTCATTATAGTATATGGAACTCCTCAGTAGTGCATATTCATTTGTTGTTAAGTTTCATTGTGAATTACATTGGCTAATAAATTGAACAAATTTTTTATGTCAATATGTATGTTTTTGTGGTTGTAAGAATACCAAAACTTATGATGCTTATTATACTTTATTATTATTAGCATAAAACATCTTCAAGGGATACTAATCATTTGTTAGCATAATCTATTATAATTTATTGGCATTAATTACATAGTGTGAAGTGAATAATGCTAATTAATAAATTGTTTTGAAGTATCTACATTAATTCTCACTTAAATCATTTAAAAAACCATAAATTGGTTGTCAGTGAATGTTTGTAGTATATAAGAGCAACCTAAAGTAAATGTACAACCTTTCATTATTAAGCATGTTTGCAAATCTATTGTATTAGCACATATTTGTGAATATTGTAGTATTTCTCATAGTTTAAATCATGAACTGGTTTTAGATAAACCACTGTCGAAAATCATGAAGGACCGGTTTCACGTGCAAATTCATAACGCCTAAACCATTAGACTGAGTGTCCAAAATGTATATACCTAATTGATATTTTTAGGCTCGATCTCCCGTGGTTAGGCCGTGGGTGCGCACTGTTGAGGAATCTTTTATTGGGACGGAATAGATATTCATTTCATGATTTTCATTGCTGCTCTAGCTAATATCATATACTTCATTTTCTTCTGATGTTATAAATTGTCTTTGTATTGATATGTTTTAGTATCATTGATAATGTAGGAAAGACGTTTTGTAGAATTTAAGAGAATTTTTACCTTTAGTAATTAGAATATGAAAAAATATATGCATATCTATATTTAGAAAGATACGATTTAATATTGATCAGACACATTTAACAGTCGATAAGTCACATGGAACATAGAATCTGACACATTTTAATCCGTTCAAGTTGCCATACTGTATCAGCATAGAGATATAAGATTATCAAGATAAATGTCAGAGTAGTGGAAGTGTTGATAATGTTAGTGATACTGAAAAAGGTCAGGCATCGATAGTATTGTTCGAAAAGAATAAATAAAGGGTTTATGATAATTTTCAAACCCCAATATCTGAGTAAAAACAAAAAGTATATGGATCTACTCCGTCGCGACCAATAATTAAACCATAACAACCATTATTTCCAGTCATCAGTCGTAATAACCGTGTAGACCTTGACCAGATAGTTTGCAATTACCAACATGGCTCAATCTAACTGATAATGACTTCATTGTTTGATGCTATGTCTTAGTTGATCAACTTTTAGCATTCTTTCAACTTACTGCTATCACTGACAAATATTATGCTTCGATCTAGGTGGTAGTTGGACATACATAACCCATGTTTCAACTAGATTTCACTTTTTTAAAAACATTTTTTTAAAAGAAAATACATGCACGTTAATAATCCTTTAAAGAAGGTACTGGTTTGAATATTGTCATTTTGATTGAATTGTTTTTCTCCTTCATTATTTTTTTTTCCAATTTCAGTTATCGAATGTACAGAAAAAGTCGACAAACTGGATTTCCTGCTTTAATTACAATTTTCTCAGCACCAAATTACTTAGATGTGTATAATAATAAAGGTAAGTTCAGTTAACAATTTTATTAATACCGTAGTGAACAAACACTTGATGGGGATCGAATTACAGAGTGCCTTCATAAATTATGAAAACTATACATTAAATACATTATTTGCACATCTTCCATGAGTTGTCCTTTACATTCTTCATGATTCTTTCAATTCCGTTGTTATTGCGATTGCTTTCTGTCCTCTTCATTTCAATCTTCTCAATTCTCTGACATGCATTCCACCTCCGATTGACATTGCATACTACTTATATCTGTCTAGATAAGTAACATATACCACACTACTGTTTGAATAAAATTTGAGACTTACAGCTAATGGTTTGTGCAATCAGTCGTTTTCTAATCTTTTGAATCACGTAGAGTTGTTTAGAGTTGTTCACATTTTACACTACTGATCATTTCAGTATAATAATCAACATTAAAAAAGTGATTGATGGGCATTTGATATGATAATACCTTGTGTCTAGATTTGATGCTAGTGTTAAAACTTGTAATCTTCAGGGAACTTATAATATTCCCTTTTAAGATTTGGACCTACATTATCCAATTTCACAGACTATGATGTTTATCTCTGACCTATTCAAGCTTGTTTTATGTGAGTTAATCAACTCAACGTTTTCTAGTAAGAAATTAAAAAGAATGTAAATCCGAGGAACGATGAATAGAAGAACAACAACAACAACAATCATGTCGACATAAAACGACATATTTGATCCACTTTTAAACTTCTTAAAAGAAGTTAAACCTTAATAAAAAAACACGTGTAACTGTAAACACGCTCTGTGTACATGTATGCTTTTAATTTGTTCCTGGCATTGTCGTCTTCATTGCCATGGTCAACAACAGCACATTATGTTATTTCATATTGTTCTACTTACGTTTTTGATAGTTGAATCTTACTTGACTAGATGTTTGGTTGTTTGTTTCTATAACCATGTTAGCAACTCAATGACAAGATGAAAATGTGAAAAAATTTGTTTCGTGTTTGTATGTGTTTAACATTATCAGTGATAAACGAAGTTAATCTATTGAAATTTAATATCCATCTCTTTAAAAATAAGAAAAAAAATTTTTTTTTTCTCTTTACTTAAAATTTACTTTCACTAAAATAAAATCTTGTTAATCCTTTTGTGTTAAGCTGTAATAATCTAAACTCATTAGCTTAGTGGATAGTTTATAGCGTTTGAAACAATGATTATTGGACTTAAATCTCGATTTGTACATTAATACTGTGATGCTGTCACATCCGAATAGGAAATTTTGGTCTTGAACTTCAGTCTTACTCACAGTCAAACTTTAATCAAGATTCTTGATTTTAATGTATAATACATTCATAAAACTGTGAACAAGCTTTTAACATATATAGATTTGCTAGTTATCTAATGAATGAAATAAGTGTAATTATAATATCAATCGTATTAATCATTACAAATTTGTGCAGGTTATTTATCGACAGTTTGTTATACTCCATTTACTATCCGACTTATTATCTTTTAATCTCCCGTTTCCAACACATGCAACTAATCTTAGTGTTCTAGGAAAAAATTCAAGTCAAGATTGTAGGTTTAGTTTGAAACTGTGACTATGTTTTGTACTTTGGAATATTAACAATCTGTATGGTGAGATTCAGGAGGCTGATTTCAGCCCATATGGGACATCTCAACAACACTCATCTATCTTCGTCTCAATGTTGATGTTCATATCAATATTGGGAACTTGTATGCGCACCCTATACTTCGAATACCATGTGATTGTATTCTCTGTTCTTATTATATTGACATGTAAGTATAAGATTGTGGAGATTGTTGAGTTTTTTTGAAATCATTAGTCGACAAATGTCAGACAAATATTAAAAACCTGGGAGCATTGTACGTTCGTTTCGTTTTAGTATGAATTTCAGCTCAATGGTGTAGAGGTTAAGTGTTCGTTCGAGATGAAAGGCCGTGTGTCCGATTACATACTGGGGTGGTCGTGGAGGATATGCACTGTTGTGGAGTCCCATACTAGGACTAAATAACTGTCTGGTGCTTCCAGATTTTCAACAGTGGTCTAACATTGATCGACTCATGATATTAATGTGTTGTTTCTCATTTGGAACTTTCACTACAAGTAGAATTGATTGCTAATCAGTCTCTATTTTGTGTTCATTAAACTTTGTAATCATGCATATTTAACTGTCGGTGATAGACGAACATATCAGGCTTTTGAAGAATCTGATTCATGTCTTCTATAAATTGTTCTTTCTATCGTTGTTTGAATTATCCTATTATTAACTGAAGAAAGTACAAGAATATTAGAGAATTTTAAAGTAATAAACAATCAGTAGACAAGTCGATATTGATCGAGTTTACGAATCCGAACAGAACAGCGAATTAATTGGAAGGATAGAGGTAAACCAATGAAGATAGTCAATGTGAATAAGGCTAAGGAAAATGAAGATGGAAAAACCCATGATGGTAGTTAAACACAAATAAAGCTATTAAAATGAACTGATATAATATTTGTGAGGTGATTAGAAAAAATAACTTATACATGAATCAGCCTCCAAATATATTGTCTGGAATGACAATGAGAGTTTCGGAATTAAACTGTCTAGCTTGAAGATTTCAAAACTGTAAAATTAAAGACTGGTTTTAAGATATATTTTCTGGAGTTCTAGTGAGAAGCCGTGACTAGTGTTGGGTATGAGACAGTTATCCATATCAAACGCTGGATGTAGAATTGCGCAGGACCATGGATCGATTGAAGTTGGACATTTACACGGTTGGATATCGGCTCAGTGGTTTAGATGTTAATCGTTCGCGCGCGAAGTTGAATGTCCTGTGTTCGAGTCCTGTTTGTGGGATCGTGGATGCGCGCTGCTGAGGAGTCTTATATGTGGACGAAACGACCGTCTAATGCTTCTAGGTTTTCATTGGTGGTCTAAATTAAATCAACTCATGAATTCAATTCTTAAAGATTATGTATATAAACTAATGGATGATACCAGCTCAACAGTTTAAAGGTTAAACTCTTGCTAGATTATTTTAAGATGTTTTGCCTGATTTGTGATATGGTTGTGCTCACTAATTTGTGAACTATCTCATTCTATGATAAAGTAACTGTTCAATCTCTACTGGCTTATGGTGGATGCTTAAATATAATCCATTGAGTCGCCTAAATTACAAAATAAACATTCTTTTGTAATTCTAAGATGAACTAAATCCAGAAATGTAATAAACTGTTTGTGTACACTATATATCACATATTGATGGAGTTTTGCTCTCTGAGCTGGATAGTTTGGTCATGGAGCTTTCATTGTTCTACTGAACGACATCATCAGCACAAACTTCAGATAGAAGTGAAGTATTCGAATTTCTCCATATGCGTTTCACAGCTTGTTCTGTATACCTCGGCGTTGATTGGTTCTTATTGAGCTACAAATCTTCTCCATCATCTCATATATCACATTTAATTTGTGAATAGCTAACATTTAAACACTGACATGAATTTACGAAGGTTATATTAGTTGAAATAGTTTTTATTTGTTTCGAATTTTTTCACAACTATAGAATATGAAGAAAGTTCATGACTATTATTAAAAGATCACTTCTGACAGATATCTTATCATAGTTTGGATTCCTCAGTTATGTGTTATCTTTCAATAGAATTCTTAATAGGATCTATTACTTGAAATCATGAAAGTAAACATACCATTATTCAAAGATGTGAATACTTGACAGTACTTTAACTTCGATTAATTTTGTTATACAGTGCAGTGATCTTTGAAATGTCTATTTAATGTTATCAAGTTATTTCCAAATACTTCATAAACGATATTGATATAAAATGGTTATTGATTAATGATAATTTTAAGAATTATACTTAATAATTGATATATTCTGATGGGTTCTGTTCCATATAATCTGTCTTTCTTAACGTTCATCTGTCTTTTAACTCATAAAAATATTAAAGATATTAGTTATATATTTTTATTTGTTATTAATATATGTTATTTATCGTTTATTTAACTAAATATAGTTACATGTCGATTGATTGTAAATCAGTTTTATCTATCTCATTCCTTCTTTTCACATCTATTAATAGACGTATGTAGACTAAAAAAAGCATCATAAGTTTCTTTTTTGTGTTTGTAAACTTCTTTAACATCTTCAATATGAAGGAGGCATTGACTTGTTAGTGACCTGATTCTAGATGAATTCCTGGAATTCTGACAAGGAATCGTAACTGGTTAGGTTAAGACATATTGCATAGGAAGCAGTTCTCTCTAGAGTGGCATTAAGTTATGATATTCAATGTAATAAATTTGATTTAATCTGTAAATGTGTAATATTAGACGATAACTCAGTGATCTAGTGGTTATACTTTAAAAATCCAAGGTTCTGTTCTTGATGTGGTTATGGGTGCATAATACTAAGTCTTCTTATTCAAGAATGAAACATCTGTTAGATGTTTCCTGATTTTCAGTGATGCCTCGAATGAAATTAACTAGTCTATAGTAAAACCACGTACAATTTAAAATCGTCATCACAAAAACCATTTCATCTAAACTATTGACTATTAACTCATTTACGAGATACTGATTTATATATATATGATGAAAACAAGTGATACTATTCAATTGCCCAAATCATGATAGGTGGAGCTGAGTTCGAATCTACGATTTAACGGCTTAAAATTTAATATTTTAATCATTAAGTCAACCACTTCTTCATTTAGATTATTTCCAGATATCAATTATTTTCTATTTGTTTATTAATTTTGTTTCATGTTCATTTGTTTTATTTGATGTTCTCTTTCGAGTGTAGATTTTCAATATAACACTCCTTTTTTTCTTCTTTAAAAAAGATAGTTTCTTGTCATATATATATTTATAATATTGTTTAAATAAAATTATGACAACAATCAGTCTCGCGCGCGAGCGTTTAACCTATGATAGGTCCTGGGTTCAGATCCCACGAGGTGGGTCGTGGATGTGCACTTCCGAGGAGTTCCACAATAAGACGAAACAGCCTTTCAGTGCTTCCAGCTATTTCATAGTAGTCTAGCTTCAATTAACTCACGATCTCAACTATTGAAATTACTACAATCTCTACAAAACCCCTTCGGATGTTAAATAATTGTTAATTATTTCAGAATAAAGACAATTCAATCGGGTAAATAATTCATGATAGAAATAGACAAAATAAAGATTGAATAACGTTCACACTTTTCAAAAAAAAAAGAAAAAAAGAAAATCTAATCCTACAAACATTTCGGTAACAATCTAAAACAATTAATGATATGTTCAATTTCACTGTTTTGTTAGAGATTAACCGGATACATCAACAAAGCAAACAAACAAACAAACAAACATTGATACAAAATGTTTACTGTTTATAATAAGTATAATGAGATTTTATTATTAGATAACTTTAATAGATAATTGTATCTCATTATCAAACTATGTTATTCATATGTATAAATGATTGGAAATAATACAAACTAGTAATTAACCAATTTGTTTGCCTTAGTTCATGATTATTTATCCATAGTGTAGTGTAGATCAATCTATTCAGCTAAGCAACAACAACAACAACAACAACAAAATATCTCCATTTCACAAAACACTTAACATCAAACAGAATTGTTTCAGGGAATTAAAGATATAGACTGTGTTGTTGTGTTTTTTTTAAACTTTTGTTTTTAACAGAACTTAATATGACCAGTGAGCTTTGTTAATTAATTTGTATGTCGGAGTAAATTGATAGGAAATCCTGAATCTAAATTTTATGGTAGTTGTTACTCGTCAGGATTGCTGTACTAGGAATCTTATTGAAATTCTTAAATTTAATCTCTTATCTTTAATGTTAGCATATTTTAAAAGTTACAATTATGTCATTTTGTTTTCTTGTTGTATTTATAAAGTTGAGAGCTAAACAATGTACTGATTCTTTTCTTGTCAAGATGATGATTTATTCTTATAGGATGTAATTACTTGTTTATTGACTTAATTTGATGTATCATTGAACTGAAGACTTGGTAGTGATCTTGGAAATGTATTATGATATCTTAATTGAATGATTTATTTGTATGAAGCTTTCTAAACATCAGCATCAGCGCATATTGCGACCTATTAGAATTTTACGATAGTCGGTTGACGGTTTATTCTGTTTACTTGAAATGTTATCAGTTTTTCGTGTGATTATTGTTTGGATGTTTATTCCAAGTGTTTTCTCCCCCTGACCTTGCAGTTGTTGTTTTCTTTTTCTTGCTGTCTTATAGATTAGACGGATTTTGATGTGTCTACTGGTTAGTGAGTATGTAACTAGAGTATCAGGCTTCTGGAAAAATCTGACGTTTTTATGTTTCCTGTGTTAGGGGGAAAAATGAAATATTCTCTAGAAGGTCAATGAAAGCTTTACATGACTGAATTATCTAGCTGACAAACCACAACACCACCAAACTCCTCATTCTGAGATATAAATATTCTTCATCACCTTGTTATGAATACAGTATTCTTGAATCATTGATTCACAATATCTAACGGTTCATATTTTACTGACTGCAGTAATAAATTTAAAAATGTAGATAACGTGATCATCATTAAGTATAATCAATTTGCGACCATTTCCATTTTGTAGTTGATATCAAGATCTGACCTTGATTAGACAACCTTTGAAAATCAGTAAGCACTGTACAAAAAATATCGATAATGCCATCTTGGATCGAACTCAGGAAATTCAGGCCTTAAGCTAAGTGTTTATTTGATAGTAATTCCTGTTGAAGTAGAAATCGTATCCAAATCAGAACAACATCCTACGTTAAATGTTCTCCAAATAGATGTACCCCTTACATAACTTTTTTATCTCAATCAATTATTAAGCAACTCCGAATCTTGCGTCAGTGAAATGTTGACAAGATAATTCTTAACTACATATATATATATATATATATATATATATATATATATATATATATATACTTATCGAAATTCCTAATTGTTTTCTCCATTGAACATCTTATTCAGAAGAATGGTTCATCGTATACTAGCGCTTTTGATCACTTCGATGTTCATTTATCAGTTCACTCTCTCTTTTGGAGCTGTTTAGAAAACTAAATAATTTTAGACAGTATAAGTAAGTTACATTGTAGTGGACGAGAACTTAGGTGGGAAAGACCATTTTATTGTCTAAAACAAAACCATACAGTGGGTTAGTAAAATATGAAAACCATACATTAAATGCATCATTTGCACATCCTATTTCTGTTGTTGTTTACACACCTCATTATTCCTCAAATTCTGTTATTATTTCTATTCCTCTACAATTTTCTTCCTATTCTCTTCATTTTAATCTTCTACTGCCAGGCATTTCAGTTTCTATTGGTGTTGCATACTACTTTTATTTGTCTGTACAAGTAGTACGCATCACAACATCATTGAATACAAAATTTCTTTCCCCGAACCACCTACTCATAAATCAGTATAAATATAGTAAGAAATGATCATATTGTACAATGATTGACTGTTTTATGTGTTATAGATGTGACCACGATTTTTTTTTAGTAATATACAGTTACTTTAAGGTCAAAGAAGCGGTCACAGGAGAATTGTTATTTAAGAAAAAAAATTTATTGACATGAATGAAGATACCTTCGGTTAGTGTTTTGTAGTCACATGATTTATTGACTCTAAACTATTTTGCTTCGTGAACATAAAGTTGTATTTCTTATTTCATACATTCGCATTCACACGCACACGGACTGCGATTGATCAGTCTCTTATTGGCATATGTGCATACTGTGCGTATTGCCTTTATATTTCTTTAATTTACAAGCATTATATGCAAAGATGGATAGTGGCTAGTAATGTAATCCAGGACGCGTGTTTATTTATCTTGTCTTTCTAATAAGATATGTCAGATTAAGTTAACGGATATTTCTACCAGACTCTTATGTTGATTATGATTGATTAGATGATCTTGTGTAGAATTATGCTCATTTATTTATTATCTGGGATATTCTACATTGTGACAAAACGGTCATCTAGTGTTCTATTGCTTTTTAGTATAATTCTCTAATTTAATGAGGGCTAACTTCAATCATGACAAAAGTGTTCTTGATCTATATTGGTATATTGGATTTTCGAAAGAAGCGGTTGCTGAACTCATGAACCGATTTAAGTAAGACAACTTTCACCCTATTATGGTACTGGTACTGCAATTGATCAGTTTCTGTTGGTATATGTGGATCATTGAGTCGATCGTTTTGATATCTCCATTTATTCATAGGTATTTTAATAAAGTTGGGTAGTGGGAATCAACGGAATCTAGGACGAACATTTCTTGCGATTTAGGGCTTATCAACTGGATGTACTTTTATCCTAGTATATTAATGCCTGGACTGAAACTCGAACCCGGTACCTTTCACTTCAGATGCTCAACTTGTTTTCCATTAAACTACTAAGTCAAAAGAGACATTAACTTGTACAAGAAGTGTGAGATTTATTTTTAAGGGTTTGTATTTTGCTCACGTTGGTTTCTGTCTGATCTGAGTAGCTCAACAGATAACACCAGGCGTTTGAAGTTAAAGGCAATGGGTTCAAGCCTTAAAATGGACATCGACACACTTTGATACAGGTGCACGTTTAACTGACGAGTCCCAAATTAGGAGAAACGCGCATAATTTATTCCAGTCCAAACTACTATCTAACTTTACCAAGACATCGTTGTATACTACTATAGCTTAGTGATTATATTTGCGTATTTTTGTAAATTATTTGTTTCTTTCTAAATATTTTCTCCCTAATTGAGTGTTTTATTTTAAAATAACACTTGAAATCTCGTATGTTTTTTTGGAATTTGTTTCTCTCCCATATTTCTATCTACTATTCTTTATTTACTTATACTGTGACTAATTTTCCCCAACCTTTATTGATTTGTTATGTTTTGTTTTCATTCTTTTTTGGTCAATTTGCTGACCAACCAACCGATGGAATGATTGGTGTTACTAAATTGATAATTTTTGTTAAATGTTTTTTTTAGCTGCTATATTAAAATATGAAAATAATGTAATGAATATACGTCAGTTTAACTGTTCACCACATCCATATTGGCTACCGAATTTCATGGATGTATTTACATGGTCATTACCATTTGTTGGTGAAAAAGGTAGGTGATGATGTTTGTTTATTTAAATAAAAGAAAATGGTGTCTATAATGTTTATAAAATAAAAATTGGTGAGGTTAAAGTAAAAACTGTTTGCTCTTATGTTTATATATGTAGAAGATGTAAAGATCGAGAGAGTTGTACGGAACTTGATTTCGTTATTTCCACAAAGAGTTGGTCAAAAAGAATAACTGATTAGTTAAACAGAAAGAGTCACAATTCAACTTAGTATACTGGTGATAATAATAACAAGCAGTATGAACATATACTGATAAAAAGAATCAACTATGTAACTGATCATCGAAACACACTACAGTTCACCTATAGTCAAGATTGTATATGGAATAAGCAATTTTACATTCAATTCTCAATCTAATATACATTTATTTTAATACGTAATAATTACAGTTATATAATGACAGTTTAAACGCATGAATAAAATGAAACCATTTGTTTTAATTATTCATGAAATTAATGAGTAAGAAATTGTAGGATAGTACTACTGATGAGTAATATAACTCATTTACTATGTATCATAAAGAATAGTGATACTAGTTAAACTTTACAGGTTTTTTAATGACATAACTTAGTTCGATTGTTTTTACTGTGGTTTAATGGTTAATATGAGAATGGGTTTTGTGGAGATTTTAGAACTTTCACTGGTTGATATCATTAGTCAATTGAAACTAGACCACCATGGAAAACCTGGAAGCAGTGGACGGCCGTTTCGTCTTAGTATGGGATTCCTCAGCAGTGCTCATCCACGATCTCGCCCTCCGCAAGATTCGAACAACAGGACCTATCAGTCTCGCGCCAGGCGCTTAACCAACTAGACCGTTGAGCCAGCATCCATCGGTGTTAATGTCCAACTTCAACCAATGCACGATGTTGCGCCACCGTACACCATTGTCTTCAGTGAGTTCCTATCTCACAACATATCTGGTTGAAATCCACTGGTAACGGCTTCTCACTAGAACTCTAGGAGTATCTCCTCAAGTCAATCACTAGTGACCAGGTGGATGCGCACTGCTGAGGAGTCTCATACTAGGACGAAACCGCCGTCTATTGCTTCCAAGTTTTCCATAGTTGTCTAGCTTCAATTGAATCATGATTTCAACCATTGAAATTTAATGGTTAAGTTGTTCCACTAAGTTACAGCTCCGAAACCTATTCTATTTAATTCCATTTGAGCAACTAATTAATATTATCAATAGCTCTCACATTTAACGGATGACTTGAAGTTTACAACATGAATTTGTATTAGATAAATGAATAATGAAAGAAAGAAAAATCACTTGTAATTAAAATGATATTGAATTTGGTTAACAACTTCGATGTGATGAGAAAAACTAAATTGATGTATAAGCGTAATAAAACATTTTCTTTTCAATCTTTGTTTGTTTGTTTATTTTCTTTTCTATAATCAGTTATTATCATGATTGAGAATAATCAGTTTTATTCTCATTAAATTGTTGTGTATATGTGTGTTTTACATTGTTAATTTTTCTCTTTTTTTTTCTTCTTTTTGTTCCCTTTAAATTTTCATTAACTTTCTGTTGTTAATTATGGTTAACAAAAATTCCGGTTTTATAGAAAGAAGACAAAAAGAAAACAGAGATAAAAATGATAATAAAAGCAAAACGTTTTTAGAGCTTAATTAATTTTTATTCTTTCATTTTATCATAATTAAGGTTTTTCTATAAATGACGGTATTATTATTATTGGTAAAAGTTTTTCTGGTTAGCGTTTTTTTTAGCGAGTTAGTTTTCTACGGGATGGAGATGCTAACCCCATGCCCAACCCTCCTCCGGGATTGGGACCGGCAGTGGCCCCCGGAGGTACTCCAGGCGGAGTATTGGTAGAAATAGAAAAGAATGGACTTATTTTAATGTTTGTTTGTGTGTGTTAAATCGTTATAACAAGGATTACAGTGTTGTGATCTCCGGTTTTCCCACGATACTTGTAAATAAGAAATGAATAAACTAGTCTAATCAAAAAACAAGTTTTCTCATGGATTCAACAATGACAGCTGGTACACAACACTTCATTAATTAGCAATTAATCCAGGATAAGTGAAGTATAGGAAAAATTGTCATTAAGGCAGTTAACTTGAGAAGGTACAACTTAGTATATATAGTAATGGGGGGTTGACATTGAATGACGCCGAAAATTGGCTGAATCAACATAGTGATTATCAATCCGAAAAGGGTAAGGTCATAAGAAAACTTGAATTAATTAAAGGGAATCATTTATTATCGTTTTTGTCAAGACTTTACCAATATTGACAGAAGTTAAGTAATAAGCAGCTTGTTTGTTACTTCGTAAATAAATTAAGTTGATAAGGATTTTAAAATGAAAAAAAATTATTTACTTCTTGTCCAAAATGATAGTTAAATAGCCTTAAAGATTGTTGTTGATGATGATTATGATGATAACGACATTTATCTTCGTTTACTTCAACATAAAGGTGTCATTTAAAACAGGCGGATATCAATAAAGATGATCATCAAAATGACACAAATGAAAGATGATTAGTCATTTATTTTAAGATGACTATACTTGGGTATTGAGTACAATCTCAAGAGACAGAAAGTGTGCAGTTTATAAACTTGATTATTATTTATTAATTTTAGCTATAGTATGATTGCACATAAAATAATTTAATAGTTACAATTGTTCGATCATTCAGTACCGACCATTATCATGTGCCAATCGAATTCTATCGACTAAGTTCCAATGTAACGACTAACCTAGGTGACCCAACAGCACATGGACTTTGTTGGGATGGTAAACGATTAGAGGTAACCAACAGGCAACGTAGTTTCAGGGTTTTCTTTCGACTAATTTTAATCAATATAACATCTCGCATTAGTATCTATTCCTATTACGATAAACTAGTTGAGTAGAATTCAAGATGATACAGAATGTTTTTAAAAGAAACAAATTGCACTCTACGTTATACTTTTAATGCCTTATCGGGATGCGATTAGTAAGCATTAAAAGTACTAAAACAGTTGATCTTTTGATAGTTATTGAGTATACTGTATGAAAAGAGAATGAGAGTGAAAAATAAAAATTTTTTTAAACGCTTTACTAACATTATTCTGACTTTCAATCATCAACTGACAAAGCTTCTTCAGTGTAATGTAGGTTAAAGTATAAATCAGATGGAATCTTTCAATTGGACACTACATATGATATTTTAAAAAAACATCAGAACATTCTTGCAAAATAAAATGACCTAATTTCTCTGCATCACTTATTGATTATACCTATACACATAGGTGCTCCTGAATGTGATAAACAGCTTACTTGGTTAGTTGTACAAAAATTTTTTTTCTATCTTATTATAAATATTGTTTTGTATCTAGAATTCTTGATCAACATTCATATTGGATCTCTTTTGTAACAATCTTTAAATTGTTGACATTTACATCAAATCTATTTACCGTAATGATGAGATATGTATTATGTTTTATAAATAATATTTTCTACTAAATCTTTGCTTCTAACAGTGTAGTTCATTCTTCATTATGATTCAACATGTTAATATTCTGATAAATTTTCAATTTATTTATAGGCCTATAATTTATTTCAGAATTTCATATCAAGTTTGAAGCTTTCTACTCTCTCTATGGGTCTATAATCTTCAGACTAAGATGCCTTCGGGTCCTGATTTCTATGTCTGGTGGCTTTATAAATGCGCACTGTTGACGAATCTATATTCGCACGAAATTGCTGCCCAGTGATTCTTGATTTGTATTGTTTTTTTCTAGTCGAAGTCTGTTTGCAGTGTGCACTTGTAAAATTCAATAATCTCCACAACCCCATATATATATGCCAAAGTTTTATTGTTTCTTAAAATAATGGTTATATATAAGAAACAAAATCATCCAGTCTTTAAGAATAACGTTAAAAGTTTAAGCGATCTACGTTGACCTTTAGATGATTATAGACACAGCCTGTAAGAGGGTATTTTTATATTACTTTTCAGAATAACTAGACACCATTCAGGCTTTCTACAGTTTGAATATAGCATAGCTCAATCATGTGATGCATCTATACATTTATCAAGAACACTTGAAGATGGTTGTCCTTTAGTGGTGGTTGAAGTTCAGTACTAAAAGTCGATCAGTTAGTTACATATTTAAAAAAATATATTATTTACAAGAGTTGATGATTCTACCCCACCTTATTTCCTCTTCACTGTACCTAATATGTTGATAGTTTCACTAACACCATCTTTTCGTTCTACTCTTCATATGGTATTATGTTTAGTTTGATGATTCCAACCCTTTCATACAATCAGCGTCATCATCATCAACGATTATTGATTTGTCTGCGCACACTGTTTAATTGTTTTCGGAAAAAGTAACTGGGAACAAACATTCTTTCACCATTGAATCCATTTTATTTATGTTACTTGGTAATCTAAATAGGATAGCATCGTATCTGCTACTTCGTCTCTCTCTAAATTGTATCCTATGCTCTTTCCCATCTCTCTGTCTCCTAAATGTCCTTCACACACTGCATGGCAGTCTCTTATTGTTCTCAATCCTACTGTTGTTATTTTCAAACTGGTAGAGACTGGATTGGTGGGTGTTGGTGGTATGCATGTGTGTTTTCTCCTGACTAAACAATTAAAAACTGCTTTTATACTATTAATTTCAAAATTCTCTTCATATTTTACCTAATATTACTTTCACACTGTTGATGTCCTCGAGATGATGATGAACAAATGTTTTTACCACATTCACTCAGTCCACTCACACTAGTCCCACTTGTTCATGTTACATGATAATAATTATAGTAATAATAGTAATAATAATCCCGAACAAAGGTTGATCTTCCTTTTTCTCAGCGTTGTTTGCTACTCTTTCCTGAATAGTTGTCTCTTTACTTATGTCATTATCCTGTTCGTGTTGTGTTGTGTCCTTACCGCTCGTCACTTGTTCACCTCGCCTTCCTTGTTGTTTCCTTTTTTTCATTTGTATGCATCATTATTTCGATTGGTCGCCTACCTTCGGTGGTGATACGCACACACACAAACTGATGATGATGGATTGCGTTTTGTTATTGTTTTCGTTGTTATTACACTTTGACAGCTTACATTTACATCGTCAATATCTTACTTGTTATCAATTGCTTTTCAAATGTTATTTTCTCTGTATTTTTTCTTAAAAAACATCGCTATGATATAATTCTTCATAACATTAGAATGTACGTTGTGTTTACTAAGTGTGTGGGGGGAATACAACCTATATATATGCGTGTCTCAATATATTTTCTTACTGATTATGTGATTTATCTACATGAGTACTCTCTCCCTTTCACGCTCGATTTTGCGTTCTCCATCTTTGTTAACTTCTTTCTTACAGTGTACTTTCGTTCTGTGTATATGTGTGTTCGTGACGATATTTAAAAACGAGAATTAATCCATTATTAATAATAAACAGAGAATTCAGTTGTTTTCCGCTCAATTTGTTATTATTGTAAATATTTTAACTCATTTTGACATGAGAATTAAAATGTTTCCTCTTTCAGTTGTTCACTCTCTGTTTCTCGTCCTTTCTCTCTCACTCACTCTCTCTCTTTTCTGATTTATGGATGAGATGTAGTGAATGGAACACAAATATAAAGTGTGTGTACATTATTTTTTGAGGGAAAAATAGGTTTACTAACTAACTACATATCAATTATAAATATGTAAATGTTATATTGTTTTGGGTTTTACAAGTAGGAATTAATTTTTATTGTTTTGTTTTTCCCCCCCAAAAAAGAACAAAACTATTCAGTCATGTTACAATAGTTTCATAATTTGCAATAATTTATAGTAAATTTGTCGTATAGGTGGGGAGGGGGGCATGGTTGCATTGTGTTCTCTGAGATGGATGGTTCAGTTTCAAGACTTTCATTGTCATTCTTGACAACAAAATTATCAGAACTTACTTCACATAGAAATTGGAAATATAAACAATTTTTTGTGACTTAATAATAGTAGTTCAATGATTATGCCATGTTTATAACGTGACGTGAATAGATCAATATCTTACATTGATGTCCTTGTTGATCATTGAATGGTGCATACTTTTTAAGTGTTGGAGTTGTAAAAACACTAAACTGAAAAAACTATCCTTCAATATTCTTTAATTGTGTTTATAAGTTTCATAATGTGAAATAACTTTCAACTTTGAACAGCCTTTACAAATCCTTTGAATTTAAGACTGTCATAACTTCTTGAATAATGCTAAACTATAACTATGCTCATTTACCAGTTACATGTTTATGTATTTGGCTATGAGATCAACTCTGATTGTAAGGGTTTATAATACTACCTTGTTGCCCAGTAGTCAGTGAACAATGTAGAACTTCATACGTACGTACAATAGTTCGAGTTGACATACCACATACCATGCCTGGTTGCCCAGACTGAATTATGTAAGACGGGGTTGAAATCTGCAACATAGTGGTTGATTTTGAACGCCTCAACCGTTGAGTCACCATTTTATCCATTAATAACGATGTGAATGTCAGCACTAACTTTATGTTAAACTGAGTTATTTGTTTAGTTCAAGAACATATCTAAATGATAAATTGACACTTCAATGATATTTGTTTCGTTTTAATGTAGAAATCTTTATCCTTATCAATGAATATACTCTCGATTTTTTATCTAAAGTCTTATTCTAACAGAACAGTGTTTGTTTCTATATTAAATGAAAAAAGTTTGGGATTTTTAAGATGTTTTATTTTCTGTTTGGAACCGAGAGAACTTCCTCAATAGCACAATATACACTACTAAACTATACAGCTCAGAGAAAAAAGACATTTGTAAAATTCGCATTTGGGTCTTGTAAATGTTTACCCTCATGTCAGGGTTGATGATTCTCATTTCTACATTTAACCACATTTTTCCTCTTAAATTTGTGTAAATCATTTTATTACATTGAGTCTCTCTTCATGACAAACTGTGAGGAATTCGCATACTTTTTTCTTCTTTTGAATAAGCGTTTATCCATAAAAAAGCATGTCATCACTGAACATTGAATTGCTTGTCACTTGTAAATAATTGATTATTAAAAAATAATGTTGAGTTCTATATGGGAAGAAATGTGCTTCTTTGATCCTACTGCCAGCTGCTGTATCATGATGTAGTAGAGCATTTGATAAATAATCAACAAAAAAAAACTAGCGAGCACTGATTCAACAGTTATTTCGTTGTAGTGTGGATTTATTGGACAGTGCGTGGACCTACAATAATATGCTCACACCTGTGTTCGATCCATATTGTTTAAGATTTTAAAATTACTATGACTTATTTATAATATGATACCCCTTTTTATTGTACATGGGCTCCAGGATCTTAATAAAACAAATGGCGTATGAACCAATTATTGGTCACCGGCTACCATTGGATTGCATCTCCTTACGTTACTCCACTGTCTTATGGATTAGATCTTTATGTCAAACGCTCGGGGTGTGGTTCCCTAAGAAAACCACCTGTTTCGGTTTGGGCACCTAGTCAGTGTTCCAGCTCTCACACAAATCGAATGATTTATGTGGCGCATATCTATTTGGTGCCTCCTTGTACCAATCTTAATGTGTTTAAATAAATAAAACGTAATGCAAACTTTTGATCGCGTTGCTTTCTCTTAGCTGGATGATGTGATTTTAAACCTTTGATTTTCTTCTAGAAGACACAATCAGTTTCTTTTTAACATAGAAATGAACTTTTCAGGTCATTCTGATGATCTTGTCTATGATTAGTTGTCCTTCATTTGTTTTTGGATTTTGTTGTGATGGGCTCTGTCCAAGATCTGATACTTATACACAACGTGCTACATGTTAACTGACTAGCTGAGCGATATGTCAAGAGTAGAAGAGAAAGTCTGTTGAGTTACCGAATAATATATATATATTTTTTCTACCCCTTAGAAAATCGATTCATTTCCTAGCCAATGATATGCGTTTGTCCTTCAGGTCATCGAGTGACCCTCTGGTTTAGCTACTTCTGATTGGCTCATCATAGCAGATTCCTGTTGATGATCCTTTATGGTCGGTCTCTAACTATTTATTCGATTAACTCCTTCCTTATAGATTGATGGATTGGATTTTTGTTGGGGTATTTTTCGATTGCCAGTTGATCATCTGGTTATCGGGTATGTAGAAATTCTCTAGGATTCCTAGAATTCCTTAGATTCAGATTTTTGGTGTTTCTTCAATCAAATTCATGTCCATGATTTACCGTCTAAATAAATAAATCTCAATTATGTCATTTGACTCAGAGAGTACATCACCAAAAATATTATTAATCCACTTGACCTGTAAATTCTCTTTATCATTGGATTATTAAAAACTATTTTCATATAAATTAAGTTAATAGAACTATTATTTTATTTATTAAATTGTATTATTTAGTTACCGAAATGTTGGTCAATGTACTTAATATATGTTCAGATGATGAACTACTATCGGACACACCAGAAGATGAATGTAAGTTTATATATATATTGAGTGGATTACCTATATTGTTTATTTTTTCAGTTGGAGATCACTACTTACAGTTTTAAAGAACTACTTGATGGTTAGATGACAGTCTTAAGTTTCATGTTGAAACGAACTTTGATATCTTTAATCTTGTTGTAGCCTAATGCTTTCTGCGCAATTTCAGCGCTTGGACCTCATTAATTTAGTCAAATACGTGAACATCAAGTTATATATGGATGTGACGGAAATCCTGTTGAATCTGGAATTTCCTCTTTGATGAACTATTTTCGTTATTCAAGGATCAATCAGTATGGGATTAGTGGAAGTAACATTAATAGTAATAAAGAGAAGTATACTAGTAGTCTATTGACCTCCGGTTAAAATCCAATCCAAACTGAAGCTTTATTCTAATTGAAATCATAGTTTTCCCTTAGAGGCAGTTACATTTATCGATAAAAATACTTTCCCGAAAATACTAAATACTTTAAGAAATTAAATATTTGAAGACCAGGAAACATTGTACAGGTGTATTTCTAAAACACGGAACTCTTCATCAATTCATATCCATAAAGGTACTTAGAGTTGATTTCCAGGACCTCACAAATGTTGTGTCAAAATTCAATTATCTCTGTAGGCCGTTTATGCTGATAATAACCATCTGGTCATTAGTGAGTGATTTAAAGGGGTAACTATTGGAGTTCTGTTGAAAAACTATAACCAATGGAGTTTTTCCATGCCGGATGTGGGCTAGTTATCCATCACTGTCATTAAAAGATGGACACGCAATATCATAATCTGATCGAATTTAAAGGTGTGAACTATTAGACCTTAACTCATTAATTTAAAGCTCAGATGCTCATCACAATTCCTGAAGGAACTCTGGTTTGATCCCACGTAGTGAGTCTATGGGTGTATAATGTTAGGAGGGGTCTAATAATAAGACAAAGACTCTGTTCATTACTTACTGGAATTTTTAATGGCGGTCTCACTGAAACCAGTCTGTGACGTAAAAGTACAATTCGATAATCTCCACAAACATTCTGTACTGATTTCTGAATATTATCGACTATGATCCAAACAACCCTGTGGTAATGTCTGACACTATATGATGTGTTTAAATACTAGAAGAAGTATTAGCACTGATGAGAGGGAATGCTAACTAACATAAAATCTAGATTCAGAACAATCTGGGAATTGCTTCCATTTTAGTGAATCAATGATGGAGTTCAGTGCTTATCACCTTTAACTTCAGTTGAAGATTTGAATTTTATTTTACCCATTTCGCACTAACAATCAAGTGAGATCACTAATTCTTACATTTACAATATGTCTTGATACCAAATTTGTACCTGATAATAATTGAGTTATTTACCTTATCACTGTCTAACGTCATAGCCTGTTGTTTAGTATGACATCAAATGAATTAACCTAAGAATTATCACAAAAGTTATATAATGATCTAAATTATTTTGTCTATCTATCGATCATCATCATAATAATAATAGTAATAATAATAATAATAGTGGTTATAATGCTAAAAAGAACCGACAAAATGAAAGGAAACAATTACATATTTTATAAACTAGCTATCTGGTTGTCTTTTTTTCCCCAATTTGCACTGTAGATGATGTAAGTTGCTTTTCTTTCTAAATTAAATGTCTTTAGATTGGGACATTTTAAAGAGTCATATATAACCGTTTCTTCTTCTTCTTCTTTTTATCCTTCTTCTTTATATTTTTTACACACAATATGTTTATTGATTTATTTATCTTCATAATAAACAATACCCTTACAAAAAAAAGATACCTATTCGCAATCCCATATATGATTATCACTATTTTTAGTGTATCTTTAATAAAAAATCAGCTAAAACGTTTAATATTAGTCTAAAAAGTTTGTTAAGTTCTATAGTTTACATCACGAATCGATCTTAGTTAAATAACCATTGAAAATAAGGAATTACTTGACATCTTTTTAATCACCGGTTTGGGTGTCCTATTGACGAACCAGGATCAGTAAAATTCAACGGCATTGAAAGATGGGCGCAAAATGTTTGAAGTTAGAAATATAGTTCGGTAGTCTAAAGGTTTAGCTCTCACGGTGAGACTTTAATGTCCTTGATCCAATACCTGGTATGGTATTGGATACGCACTGCTGAAGATTTTCATACTAGGACGAAATAGCTTCCTAGTTTTTTTGGTTATCTAACTTCGGTTAGTTCAGGATTTCACTTGTCGTTTAGTACTGCACATTATGTTAGACGATCATTTGACCTGTGAGATACATTATTCATTGATTGCTTCAATCATCAATTACACCTAATAACTTTATCAACTGACTTATTTGCTTTGATTATTCTTTATAAACTGAACTTAATTATTGTCATGAACACTCAGTATTACTCTGGAGTTTCATTTCATTCCAGGCATATTTTTTAATGTAATGGCAAAAACATCTTTTCTGCAAATGTATTATTTTCTTAATAGGCTTTTTTTTCAATACAGGACTGTTTCTCACTGTGAAGTAGTTAAAAATAAACCGTTTCATATTCATCATTATGTTTAGTTGTAATTTCACTACAGATTGAATAGAAACCTTTGATCAGTCATTATTCATTTAAAACTATTAACTTAGAAATAAAAAAAACATTTATTGATTTTATCTCTATAACGAGGAAGCATTGGACAGTTGTTTCGTTAGCTGTACGGATCCATGAATCTAACAAAGATCGATGCTAGAAATTTCGATCTTTTTTATTTACGCTCAACAACCATCAGATATTTTGAAGCTTTTGAACGGACGGAGAAAAGTTGTAAACTATTCTTTGATCACACTTATTAATAATAGGTCCTGTGTTCGAATCTCGCGGGGAGTGGGGTCGTGCATGCGCACGGCCGTCCAGTGCTTTCAGGTTTTCCATGGTGGTCTAGCTTCAATTGACTCATAATTTTAACTAGTGAAATTATTAATGATTGTCTGGTTTAGTCGCTGAGATTATTATTATTATTATTATTATTATTATTATTATTATTATTATTATTATTATTATTATTATCATTCTAAATCATACCAACTTCACAATGTAAATATTTATTTATATGAACACCAAATATATACATTTCACACTTCATCACTCAATCTGTGTGAGGGCTGGGATACTGCTTGGGCTCCCAAACCTAAGTAGATGGTTTTCTCAGGCTGCCACTCCTCAAATATTTCTTTACGTTTGTTCGTTTCTCTTTTTTTTGGATGAAAAGTAATTTGTTTCTCATTTTCAATTCTTCACCACAGCACAAATCACAGCGCGTAAAGATGTTATCAGAAATAAAATTCGAGCAATTGGTAAAATGGCTCGTGTATTCACTGTGTTAAGGTTAGTTTCCCTAATCATATATGTGTAACAAATTTCTAATAATATTTACATGTTTTCATAAAAAACTAAACGGAATATACTATTAATCAATAATGAAATATAATTTAGGGGAATAGAAAAGTAATGTTGTGTACAATTTGTGAAGATCTTTTCTCCTTTTTTTTCCCCGTAGTGTTTGTATTTGTTTCTGTGTTTTTTTTTCTTTTTGTTGTTTGTATTTAAGATTAGATGTCAGTCAATTTGTTATATGATTAGATTGATATCTTGTTTGGTAAATAACTTTAATAAATTATTCAATTCAGTGTGACGTATTTCATTAGTTCTTTGACATTTCATCAGTCATCAAAATTTTTTCTTCAATATATATAATCGGATGTTTAGTGGTGGTGGATGTTAGTTTGTCAGGAAGTTCTGTTTGACTTATGTTTCGTATTAGTTAGCACTTTTTACCAGGGTATACTTGGAATCTGACATGAACTGATACTCTTTATGTAATTAGAACGTGCGTGGCCTAGCTTTGAGACAGCCCTGATAAACTGCTTGGGCTGTTGTAGTGGACACAACTCACAAGATTGCCTGTAATATGTTGCAGAACGCGGCCTCGAAGTTGTCGGATAGAGTGAATGGTTTTAGTACAGTGAAAGCACAACGTTGGCAAAACACTTGAAGGTCAGATGAGAAAACTGCACATTCCAGAACAAATTAAAAAATACACACGGATTATTGAGGGCTATATATGTGTATTATGTAAATACCTTATCACTTCTCACAATGTATATACATTGTTTGAGCTTATTGCCTTCTTGTACACTGTGACTGATCACCTCCTGTAAGACTGTTGCAATTATGGTTGCTAGTGGGTACATTACAATTTGGTCGATTAAATTTAATCAACAATAAGCACTTTATGAGGATGATAATATTCGTTACTACCCGGTTATCGATTAGTGTTAATGTAGATGTAGCTGTCAAATTGTCTTTTTCATAATTTAGATTACGAAATGACTTTATCTACACCACCGATGAAAACCGGAAAAAATTGTACATCTATTTCATCGTAGTGTGAGAATCATCAGCAAATTTATTGAAGTTAAACATATTCACCATGCGGTGCCGGTTTACTGGTTTATAGGTTAAGTAATATCTTGTGAAACTGAAGATCCTGGTGTTGGTTCCTTTTGGTGAAATCATGAACTTGAAATTCTGAGGATTTTAACACTAAGATGAAATAGCAACTGTTCAGTATTTCCTGGCTTCCTATATTGGTTTAACTAAGATCAATTCGTGACTATGAAAGTTATGTAATCTACACATACTCCTCTATACTTAATTGTCTTTTTATTATATGTTGCATCAAAGATACCATTTTTATCATGTCTCAGTTGTATGTTCTCCATTTTTATTTAGTTTACATTTTCACAAGGTTATTACTGACTGTTACTATTCTGTCCGTATATTCAACTGTGTGATAATCGTATACAAATGAATTGTATTACTTCATAGTCATTTATTTAAAACAAAATTGCATTATTCTTTTCACTAATATTATTGTATTTTATTTTCAGAGAGGAGAGTGAAACTATACTTGAACTCAAAGGACTTACTCCAACTGGTATGCTTCCATTAGGAGCATTAGCCGGTGGTCGAGAAGCTATCAAAGGTAAATGTAGTTGTAATTTTGTTATTTATTGTTTTATTGGAATTATTATTATTATTATTATTATTATTATTATTATTATTTGGTGTTATCTTCTACTTTACAGCAATTAGTCACTGTCTAAATCACTATGTTTTTCCAGCTCTCAGATTTATATTACCGTTCAGCATTTTACGTCCCTACTCAGTTTGTGACGGTATTTGTTTCATATATCTGTACACATGTACAAAGTGTAGCTTCAAGCTGTACGTACATTAACCTACTAGGTTGTTACAGGTAATTGACAGGAACCCTTATTTGACTTAGGTTTGGTACTTGCCAAAAAGAAGGACTTGTGATCTGAAAGAATTGGTACTTCACATGAGATTCGAATCTGTATTATTTGCACACTTGGTTAATGAATGAAATTAACGTAAAGCTAATAAATTAGTAGTTATTTAGCACTGGGTCAAACTTTAATTCTCACTGTTGCATTCGCGAGTCGATCTAAGATAGATCATCATTGAAAACCTGGAAGGACTAGACGCCATTTTGTCTTATAACTCATCAGTGCTCATCCACGACCCTACATACGGAATCGAACCCATGACCTTCAATCTTCCAAAGTTAATGGAGGGTGACTTCCTCACAACTAACTGAATTGATCCCTATCTGTTATGACTTCGTTCTACAACTTCGGGAATTACACCTTCAAATAATCTTATATGTATTGTTTCATTCCCTTAGCCATTAAGCTTATATATATATATATATATATATATATATATATATATATATATATATATATATATATATCCGGACAGTAGTTAATGGATTTTTTTCGGGCTGTTTTATTGATCCAATTAGATTAAATCCCTAAACGAGGATTTTGTTCAGTTATTTATAATCTAGTTCAGTTTGTTCTATTCTCTGTCATTCTATTCCTCTGTTTTTAACATTTGTGTCTAAGTGTTTGTGTTCATGTGTGTTTGGATCGGGATTTATGTTTGAATTGTCGCTACCATTGTCTGAAAATCTGTAGAGAAGATGCCATACGGCGCTCGATGTTTACAGATAGTTAGTTAGTTAGGTAGGTAGATATAAACTTAACGCGAGGGAAAGACAAACAATTATAACAATAACACCAGGAATAACAAAGATAATAACAACGACAAAATGCGAAACAATCGAGGCTTTTTGTGTTTGTGTTTTGTTTTACTTTAATATATGTTCCTTCATGGGAAGTTGATTAAAACTTGTTATATTCTGTTCCTGATCAACAATGTGTTATATACTTTCATTGTTATTAAAAAGGACAGACGAATAAATAGACAAATAAATAAACAACAATCGGTTGATAAATGTAATAAATCAAGTCACGTTTTATCATATTTGAATGGCATGTATACAATTTCTGGTGTGATCATAGATGCCTACTCTTGGGGAATCTCATACTGAAACCTTAAGCGAGACCAACCTCTAGTGAATACAGCCCATAAAAATACACAACATTTTATGGAAGTAATGAGGAATGATGAAGGGCAGAGTTTTAAAGAAGATAGGAACAGATAGTGTTCAGAAGGAAAGAACAAAATTGATCCTGTCTTTTTTACATTCACGTCTTTCTTTTTAAAAAATTTAAGCAGTAATGTCTAGTTTTTTTTCACTATTGTACTTTGTATGTATTCTTCTCCTCCTTATTAATTTTTCCCAATCATGATGTATATCATTATTGATTGACCGTTGAGTAGTGACTAATGTCATGTTTGTCTAGTTCTTTTGATTGCTGGTGGAATCCTATCGACCTAGTTGCAGTGTGATCACCTTCAGTCTAAGTAACTCGAAATCACGCGCACTATTTCTTGATATTAACCTGTTGATTTATTTTGAACATGTATGTAGTAGCAGAAAAGAGAAACCAAATATATATGTGTCGCAAAATAGTCATCATCCTGGAGCCCATGTAGATCACTGAATTGGAATCAGGGTCTTCCAACTCCCCGAGGTAGATCGTCCGTACTCACCCTACTAAGTGGTGCATGAAGGACAACTGGCAGATGCGTTTCAAGTGAGGACAGAAGCCAGACAAGGCTGCTCAATTTCCCTCTTTCTCTTTCTGCTGGTGGTTGACTGAATTATAAAGACCTCGATATCTGAGGGGGAAGCACGGAATACAATGAACAGCTTGTATGGAGCTATACGATCTGGACTTCGTAAAAGACCAAGTCTTTCTATCCCATACACACGAACAAATGCAGGTGAAGCCAACTGCTGTGGTAGAAACCTCTACATCATTGACCTCGACATACACAAAAGATAAAGCATGATCCTGAAATACAACACAGTGAACACCAACCCAATCACACTTGATAAGAAGCTCTGGAAGAGGTGGAATCTTTCATGTTTCTGTGTAGCATCATCGATGAACGAGGAGGATCTGATGCAGAAGATATAAGTATTTTTAAACAATTTTGTATGGAATATATTGAATATACATTGGCCGGATACCATTAGCAACAGCCTACTGTGGAAGAGAACAAACCAACTTCCGGCTGAAGAGGAAGTTTGGAGAAGACGTTAGAAGTGGAGAAGACACACATTGAGGCAATCACCAAACTGCACCAAGAAGTAAGCCCTAGTTTGTAATCTTGAAGGGAAACGGAAACGAGGAAGACCAAAGAACACACTGCGTCGGGAATTGGAAGCCGATATGAAAAAAATTAATTGCAACTGAAAAGAACTGATAAGGATAGAGCTAGATGGAGAATGCTAGTGGGCGGTTTATGCTCTTCCACTAGGGGTAACAGAAGTAATTAGGTAAGCAACCCTGTTTAAGACCCCGTTGAACATTCGCTCAATTTCGCAAATAACACCCTTGCTACGAAAAGGCAATGAATAAAGCTTCCACGACATTAGCTATATACGCGTGGCCATATAAAAGAATTTCGATAGGAAGAATAGACCATCCCCATTCTTGACCGTACCAGGATATTTGGAGTCTGTGACATCAGTTCTTTGGAGGTAGTAGTTTTGAAACATTATTTGACGTAAGTTTCGTGCTAGTCGAGACTCATCAATGTGGCTTACTTGTAAAGGGTGTTAAAATTTGCTTTATTTATCACCTCAAAGTTAAGTGATTTTGTTACGTGAAATTGTGAATATATTTACTGAATTATACGAATCATTTTACCACAAGCTTTAACGATACTGATCATGATAATAACTACAGATTAAGATACGCTCACAGTTTCAAAAATAAGGTCAATACATCAAAGTCAATACATCCAATCGTTACTGCATTACGAATACATTTTCATATGTGATCCCCAGAGTTAATAATTTTATGAAGAAATGTCAAAAAAGAGCCCATAAACACCTAAAATACATCTGAATAATCAATCCCTATAAGAGTAAACTCGATAAATCAATATATTTCCGTTAGTTCCTATATTGATCTATGTTCATTGTCATTAGTCCGAAATTCGTACAATCTTTTTTTTAAAAGTTATATGAATTAGATTCATATTTCAATATTTTTGTTTTGAATTTTACTTTTCAACCTACTTCTTTTCATTTGAACAGAGTCATATAACTTATCTTGTAAATATTAAAATGATGATAATGAATGAAAAACCAATTAATGTTTAATTCACTACTAGATTATCTACGTAATTGTCATATAATAGAAATATATATTTATTCATTATATATCCAAGATTAGTACATTTGATATCTGAATAAATGAAAATTTTGTTGTTTTTCTCTCTCACTCTTTATCTTTGTACATTCAATCATGAATTGTGTCGTTCTTCCATTCATGTTATTACTCTGATTATTTTTTTGTTTTCTCGTTCTTTTTTCTCATTTTCTTCTAACAGTAAGAATTGTACTACCAATCCTTAATACATACTACTTATATCTGTCTGTATAAGTATCACACACAATACAATAAATATGGAGTGTACGTGTACATGTGTGTGTGTGTGTGTGGTCTACTTTGAATATTTACTTATTTGTTTACTTATTTGCTGTTCTCTTTCCTCTTCTTCTTCTTCCTATTCCAAACATATTATCCTTATGCTGTTTATTGATCTAATAATTAAATCATCAGAGAGTCAATTGTTTCCAAGTTCAAGTGCAGTGTATATATTTATTGATGCATATATGTATGTATATGTATTTATATATAATTTATAAATAGTTGTTTTCCGGTGTGTATGTATGTGTATCAATGTGTGGACATGTTATATACTAAGAAGTTATACATCATCAATATAACCAATTTTTTGACATTATAATACGTCCACTTTTATTTATTGTCAATTATGATAGATTTGTCCTAGTGACCGAACTGTTGATTTTTTTACTCCTTTCTCTTTCCCCTTTTCTGCTTTTCTTTATTTTTAATTATCTTAATGACTGTTACATAAATGTTGTAATGCGCTAGAACATATATATCAGTGCGCATCTACGGCCGCACTCATTAGGGATCGGATCCAAAACCGTCAAGTTTTGCAGCTTCCACTTAACCTTCAGATCATTGAAGTGGTAGCTGGTGGCGTATATTTCTAACTTCAGTTAGTTCTAGATATTACTCATTTGACATAGTTAAACTCCAATGGTCACATTTCAGTAATACTTCAATAAATATCTCTTGAAGTTAGTTTTTAGCTAGCACATAATGATTCTTATTGTTTGCATAAAAATCTAATAGTTTTCAGATCGTATTCGTTACCAACTGACATAAGTCGGTAAATCATTATAAGTCACGAAACACCAAACAATAGTTTCTTCCTACGTCCATATTAATAAACAACTGTGTAGCATGAAAAGTGAACATGTTTCAGTCAGCTCAGTTATCGATCGACCGACCAACTGAGTAGTTTTGGAATTACCTTCGCATGTAATCCCCTGATAATGTAATCTGTTTATAGTAAGTAAATTTCATAACTAAATTGTAGAATACAATCTACAAGCGAAATGTACACTTTGTTTAACCGTGGCCTTGATGAAATAGCTTTCGAAATTGGAGAACTTGTATATTAAAAAGAAAATTTAAGATAATGATTATAAAGATTTTTGAAATAGGAAAACAAAATTTTCAGTATAGGGGTTGTGAAGATCATGAGGTTTTTGATTGAGATCATGAACCGATTGATGTTAGACCACCGTTGGAAACCTGGAAGCAATGGATGGTTGTTTCGTTCTACTGTGGGACTCCTTAACAGTGTGCATCCATGATCTCGCCTCGCGGGATTCGAACCCAGGGCCTTCAGTCTAGCGCGCGAACGCTTAAACGCTAACACAATTGGATCTCGGTTCAGTGGTTCAGTAGGTTAAGCGTTCGTGAAGGCCTTGGGTTAGAGTCCCGCGAGCGGGATCATGGATGCACACTGCTGAGAGGTCCCACAATAAGACGAAACGGCCGTCCAGTGTTTTCAGGTTCCCAACGGTGATTTAACATCAACCGGTTCATGATCTCAATCAAAAATAAAATTGGTCTATGAGTAACGACTAAATAAATACACCTTCCCATCGGTTGAAGAGAAAAGAGTTTTTAAAAAAATGCATTATTTTGTATAAATTCTTTCTAAAATGTCAACAAATGATCAACTACAATTGAATTATTTTTTAATACAAGTAATGTGAAACACTTTGAAATCTTTATATTAGTAAGTATTCTACAAATTAATAACAATATAAAAAATCACTTTATAGTTTAGATTATGTGCTGATTTCAGTTTGACTACCATTGAATGAAAATCACGAAGTGTTGAAAGATAGATTTCATACTAATACAGGACTAATTTCAATCAATTCTTAATATTACTTTATTATCATCATCATCATCATCCATTTTCATTAATGCGAGAGTAATCATCTCACTAACTATATGTTTAAATCCCATTAATCATAACTTTTTTCGTTAAATCTCCATGAATTACTTCTTGCAAATAGTCCCTAGTAAATGATAAAAATAATCAGTTCTATACTACAATTAAATGTATCTGTACAATGCTTGTTTATTTAATCTAAATTAGTTCATAATGTGAAACTTCAAATTCAACATTATTGACACATAACACAATAGATATTTTTTGTATTGTGAATAATTCACCACTTGTGCCATTTATTTCTAGGTTGTATTTATTTTATATAACGTTTTATAGAATAAGTGGATATTGTTAGATAGATAGATAGATAAAGTTGTGTTAGGTTGGTTAACTAGTTAATTCTCGTTTGTTTGTTTGTTTTGGAAAGTAAACAGTTGAAACTTCTTTTTTCCCTTCAGAGTACTGTCTGTCTACTTTTCTTATTATTAAAAGAAATGGTTGTTGATCATCATGATTCTAGATCCTATTTGTTTCTAATAATTTTTTTTCATATTAAGGTCAGATTAGAAAGATAAATTGAATATGTGATGTAAACGTAATTATATACATAAATAGATGGAAATGAATGAAGATTAATCTAATCCCTTTATGTACTTTATGTCTTTCTCTTTCTTTCTATCTCTCTCATAGAACATATTGATCACATTATCATATTAATTTCATTTTCTGTCAATGTTTTAAGGAGAGAAATAGAGATTAGCCTAGTGGAAAATCATTTTCCCCTTGAAATATATATACACTATATACATGCTTTTATAAGCTTGTTAAATTGTTCCAATCTCACTGACCAGATAAACAGACTGACCTATTGATTGTACAGTATTATTATTATTATTCATATTGAATCAAATATCAGGACACATGGTTCAATCGTATAATCAAATAAGTTAATTGAATCTATTGTAACACTAGGTGGAAATTTTTACTCTTTCCATTTCTATAAGATCAATAGTTGCAACATGTCACTATTTAGTATATAAGCCAGGTTTATGAATTTATGTTTAGTTAATGAGAAGCGTTAAAATCTATCAATTCCGATGAATGTATATAACTTGAAACTTCTGAAGAAAATGTTCTACTATTGGTAGAAGTAAAGTGAAATCAAAAGGTATCCTATGCAAATTAGAAGTTTTCTATAATATCTACCTATAATACCTATAATAATAATTTGAAATAATATAGTAAAGATGCACAAAATTACTTTGGCCAATAAATGATCTCGGCATCTTTTAAGGAAATATCTAGAAAGTAACTCATTATGGTAATTTTTAATAGTTGAGATCATGAGTCAATTGAAGCTAGATCACCATGGAAAACCTGGAAGTACTAAACAGTTGTCCAGTGCTTTCAGGTTTTCCATGGTAGTCTAGCTTCAATTGACTCATGAAAAACAACTCATTATGCTTTACTGTAATGTGATTGGATAATTATTAGTCATTTTCAACGGATTACTGAATTTCGAGGCTATCTGTAGCCTTACAAATACCCCTTATTTTCTGTATATAAACCAACCTTGGGAGTAAAGTTTCATTCATATCTCTGCTTTCTATTTCCATTTGAGGTTCAAATATGGTAGATTGTAGGAGTGTATGATTTAGCTAGAAAGTCATTACCTTGACCGTTCAATTTATCAAACGCTTTAACTCTTGGCAACAATAAACAAAAACATTCATAAAACTTTTTCATCCTATCTCTTCATACTTTTTTTTGTTGCTTGGAACTGTTAATAATTGAGTTATGTATGACTTCGATTATTGATTTAATTAATAGATTAAATTAATTACTTAGAGTTTAAGTCATGTGTATAACTGAAGTAAAATCGATATAACTGATTTGTGGACAGTGATTTTTTTCTTTATTATTGGTAAATTGATTGAACTGGAAAATGAAAAATATTGAATTCATTATTTCAGCAAATCCTAGAGTGGAAAAAAAATAGGCAAATGAAACAATCTTATATTCTCTAGTTTTCAACAGTTCACTAAGTTGAATATCAAATTAATGATGAAATCTGTATTATTCCACTTTGAAGTAATTTTCCCATAAAAAGGGTCTATTCTAATTTAATTTATTGTTTTATTTTAATAATCTCTGTCCTCTTGTTACCATATCAGAATCTATATAAAGAGGTTAATTGTTGTGGATAAAAATTTTTGTTGCTTATACGCTGGTGATTTTTTAAAAAGAAACTAAGTATTTACACCATTGAATGTCACCTCAATAGGCTCTATATTAGAACTCAGTGTCCTGGGTTCGATCTCCAATAGGCTAAATCGTGTATGCACACTGCTCGAATGTTACTATAAAGAAGGAGTTTATTGATAATATACATAATAACAGAGATGGGGCTACCCTGGAAGTTTTCTTAAAGATGTACACGTATATGGGGAAAGATGAGTTCGAGATCTTAAGTATTCATAAGAAACTCCCTATTCTTAAAACTAAAATTCAACGTGGATGTGGTTAGTAATGTCTTGCACGACAAATTAACAAAAGCAGTTTATTAGGATACCCTGAGAAGTTGATTTCGCATTGACATTTTGTAGTAAACAAGTGAAATCTACTCAAACAAAGAATAAATAGCCTGAGTTTCGCTCTTCCATATGCATTTACGTATCCCGTTGTTCCTGAAGAGAAAGCTATATTGACTGTACTATTATGTTACTTAATTAACGAATGAGTGAACATTTTTCATTTAGGTTTGTAAAGGGCTAGAAAAGGACAATACGCGACTACATCTTTGGAAACCTAGTTGACAGTCATCGTATGGTAGATAAAGCCAAATCATTTCGAATGATCTATTGTATACTTTCGTCATTTCCTAATAGGGTTCGATCCTGTCTCCTACAAATATTGCTTTACTTGGTTTAATCTTTCCAATATAAATATTCAATTATATAAAAGTAAATCCTGATTGTGATCTTATTGATAAACACTATTGTTTAATTATATGTGTTGCTCTAATTTTCACAATCGTGATCCTTAACATCTATATATTCTTTTTGCATCATAGCTGTTTCTGGAACATGGACACCACATAAAATTCAATGTTTTGAAGAAGCAAAAGCATTTGACAAAGTCAATGAACGAATGCCACCACATTTAGATATGAATTCTAAACGATGTTGGCCATATTCTTCCACGACATCAATAAATACAAATGATGAACAAGAAATTAAATTGTCTGATTCACATATTATCATTAATCGTGACCCAATTGTAGACGATGATAATGATTCTCTACTTACAGTTGGCTCACAAAAATCAATGCCAAGACCACCATCGATTTGTGAAGAACACTCATCTGATGACGATAATGTTGGTGATGATGATACTGAAGTCAAAAATGATAGGAGAAAGCTCAGACAACAAATCGATACTGTTAATGATCTCAAATCAACAAAATTAACTAATCAACTTGATACAATCAACACATCAAATGATCCCAAGCAGTCGACTAGTTCTGTTGATTCAACAAAATCAAATAAAAATGATTTAAGCAATACTACTAAAACTCCTAGTACTACTACTATTGGTGGTAGTAGTAGTAGTAGTAGCAGCAGTTCAACATTACAAAGCAGAACAATTATAAGGACAATAACACCTAATAAATCGAAAAATGACAACCTATAATCATCAGTGCTTCCGTAGGAACATTCAATCTATCCATGTCTATTATGACTTGATCTGAAAATTCGTATTTTACAACTAACTAACTAAGCGAATAATCAAATAGATATATAATCTATAAATATACATATATTTAGATATTATGCAATTCATTTCCTTTATTTTTCTTCATGGTTGGTTGTGTTGTTGTCTTTTTCCCTTTGGTCAGTTGTTGTTACGGTTGTTTGTCCGTTTAATTATCATAGTGACTTTTCTCTTTGTTTCTTTCCTCATTTGTGTTGATCTCTCTCTCCTTCTCGACTACTTTGTGTACATTTCCTCTACGTGTATTTTTGGGATGGGGTTTTTGAATTTCAACATAAAATCATCAATATGATAGTATTACATGTTTGCCACCGCTTCTATTCACTCCTAGCTGAAATATATTTGAAAATGGACATTCACGTGGAAACATAGTGACATTATAGTCATAGTATGTGAATGATTGATTAACCAAATACACTGTAAATATATACTACATTCTTGGTAATAATAATAGTAATATGTGCACCTATATCAAAAGAAATTTATATTTATATATTGAGGACCAAAAAACTATTCAATTTATGTTCTGATAAAAAGTGAAATTATACACAGAATATACCAAGACACGGTCAAATAAACCTTTTTAGATTTTGCTCTCTATTTCTTACAAGCTGCGTTACTTTTTTCTATTGATCTACCTTTCTCCGATCTTATAGTTGGTTATTCTCTCTTTCTCGCGCACGCGCCCCATTCGACCTGTCAACTGTTATTTTCCTTTTAAAATAGATAACTATTAAATAATCAGCACATTTATAATCTATGAGAATAATAATGAAGTGCTCATCTATTGTCTCTTTGTTTGCCTGTTGTGTCTATTTGTCTCTGCTCTATGTGTGTGTGTGTGTTTGTGCCTGGGTATATGTCGTGTTCGACGTCAAATATGGCGTGGAATTTTCGTTTTTTTTTGTAATTAACGCGTTTTCTTCCATTTTTAACATGATTCTTGTCGCTTGCTATTTTCTTCTTCTAAATTTCTAAACAAAATTAGATTTTTTGTTTGGTCTTGTTTATTATTTCTACACATGCACATTTAATAATAATAATAATATCCATCTTACAAAATCATGGTCTACATGAATGTAAAACAAGAATTGCACAGTAACTAAGCAACAACAACAAAAAAATTCAAACTAAACAAAGAATGATTCATTTATTTTCCATGTTTCAAAATTTATTTTTTAATTTTACAAAATTGGTAATTGAGGGGTGGAGGGTTAAATTTATTATTAAATTATTATTTTCTTAAAATATGGGATATACAGTAATATTGTGTTTATTATTGTTGTTGGCGATCAATACTTTGTCCAATTTTATTTTTGTTTCTATTATTGATTGGTTTACTTTTATTTTGATAATATATTGACGATAATGATTATTAACTGTATCCTCAATTCGATCAGTATTAATTAAAATGCATATGGTAATAGTTTCCAAGTGTTCTTGTTTAGTCACCTTTCATTTCGGATTTGTATATGAATGTATGTTTTTCCTTAATCTTTTTGTTCGATTACTTTTTTTCAAGCTATTTAATTAGATAGACTAAAATCGGAGTTATGAATCGTCCATATCCCTTTTTTAAAATGTTTTCTTCTGTCATGTGTTACTATGTTCATTGTTTATGTTTTAAATTATTGACACTCAAGTTGTCAATGAATTTTTAACATATATTCATGTACATCCAGGTTGGCAAAGTATCTTCTGTTTTTCTTGATGTGTACAGTGTCATTTATACTGTGTTAAATGAAAATTCACATGACTCACTTGTCTTTTTGTATGTATGTGTATATGCTAATGTGAAGGTATATAGATTTTCTTTTGCTTTTCCCGTTAACCACAATCATGGTTTGTTTTCTTCATTATTATGATTTTAGTGTCCAACTCTCATCATGACCTATTGTTTTCAGTTTTTGCATACATGTTGTCACTGCATATATATACTACCGGTTAATGAGGTTGGTGATGTGTTTTTTTTGCTGTCGATCTCTTTCTTTCTTTCTGTGTATCTTTGTAAGTATCGTCAAATGTTTAGGATAACATTGTGACTCGAATTTTCTTTCTTACACTATGTAATGTAAGCATAATGATGATAACAATAACTATGAATGTATGACTCAATAAAACTCTCTAGTTTTTATTCATCCTATTTATTCATATTAATTGATACTGCTCTATTTTACTCATTTACATCTTTAATTTATCTCCTATTTCCTCAATATCATTACTATCTGTTTATTATTTGGTTAATTATTTTACAAGGGACATATTGATAACATAAACTAAACAAAGAACTAACATACACATACAGAATGAAAGATAAAAATGAAATTCGATATGATAACAGAATGAAACTGGCATTAAGTTTATACATATATAAAGTAATGAAGAACGATGCATTATGATTAACCTTTTTTTTTCTAGTATACAACTACTTGTTACTACATATATATGTAATTGAACTTGTATATGATCAGATTAACTTTTGTCTCGTTTTTATTGTTTACAGTCCTTGATTTGTTCGATTCTCTTTTTTTTTATTCTGTCGAATTTGACTAATATCTACACATCAGTACTAGTTACATCCTACATCCGCCATCCTTAATCACCTCCAATATTGTTAATATCAAGTAAATATTTCCTCTCCTGTGACCGTGTAGTTCTTCTTTTTTCATTCTACTACTTTATATTCAGTAGAAGGAAACTGAGTACACAATCGTCTCTTGGAAGTAGGTGTACGTGTGTTTGTATCGGGTTTTGATATTTCACTTTTGTAGAGATTAGTCAATGAAGTTTCCTAATAAAATACTTCATAAATATATTTTACTATATTGTCTTTTTTTCCCCTTCAACATGTACCGCATCTGATCGTAGCTTCCAATTAGTTTGGTGACACATCATTTTTCTACTTTGTTCCATTTTAAGTTTTCTGTATCATCTTTCGATTACACTAAAACTACAATTACTGCTGTTCTCTTGCTGATAATAAATCAAAATTACAAATGAGTACTTTCTTTTAAAGAAAAGTTGTGCTCGTCTGTTTACTCTGTTTTTAGTAAATGAAACATCTATCAAATGGTTTTTTTTCTTTTGTCTACTTTTCATATACACAGAGATGATGATTTACCTAATTGTTTTGCTTTCTCATACATATGGTCTTTTTCCCTCTATTCCATAAATCATTTTAAAAAAAATATTATTACAATTACCATTTGTATTTACCGGGTGTTTTTCCTTGTCTTCACAACCACCTCCTTGTTGTTGTTCGCCTTGAACTCATTTTATGTTTTCCTTTGAATTACAGTTAACCTTCGGTTGAATTTTAATAATAAAAATGAAATATTACTAGTTGTTTTCCAAACATAACTCACTTGCATACATATACTCATGTATGTATATGTAAATGTATGTATGTATGTGTGTGTGTGGGTGCATGTGTGGATACTTACCTCAACAAATAAATAAATGAATTTTCGGATTTATAGACAAATTGAGTTATTTTCTATTTCTTTGATCGGTTAACTAATTCTATGGTGTTTTGTAGTGTTCATACCGAAAAGATTATTTCCATTTTTATCATTAATAGTTTTAGGACTCAAACAATATTGATCTTTTAAGATCTTGTGTTAGTTTGATTACAAATAGTAATTCATCAGTACTGTTGTTAAGCAGTAAACTATTAGAAGTCACCAGTAATTAGTGCAAAGCTATTTTATCCTAGTTCAATACGCTTAAACAATGTATACACATATATATCCAAAGTGTATAGAATTCAAGTCTAACATCTAAAACTATACTTTTCAACCATTGAATCATAATCTAACTTTCAACATTTTTAAACATTGAATGATAATTCTTAGATAATTTATTCACTGTAAGCGCTTTCACGTTTTACAACGTTGTAAACATTATCTACAAAAATCTGGACATATTCCTATATCAAATACCAAATGCCAAATTCCTTATCAAATATATTAGTTTTTGTACATAAACTAGGGATTAGATGTTAGATGAAGCTGGTTTGAATCCCACAGATAGTAACGCTTCTTCCAATAAGATCAAAGATAATATTTACTGAAAAAATTCCGTCCGGCATAAATCACAGATTCAAGGTTTCCTGACGAACATCTCCAATCACCTAATATGTCTACATAGCTTATACAGTATCGAGCTGTTAAGATTCACTTATTTCTATCCGTTATTATGAGATATCTCAACATAAATTTAATATACAGTGATTCTGTTTTCCTTTATTTTTGAAGTTATATCACAATGTAAGTGCAGTTGGATTGTTTCGGCACGATAACAGGTTGACATATGCCCTATTATTCTATTTGTCACAATTTTAGTATCATAGAGGTGAAAATGTTTTTAATTTAGGATGTTAAACAGAAAGTCCTCGTTTGTCAATTGCCATATATAAATAGTTCTTGTAATGGATATTAACACATTGAAACTCAAACATATCCGGCTGACGGGTCTCAAATGAGACCGAGACATTTACAAGCTTAGAGAATTCCATTATATTACATGCCCGTGTCCATATGCCATCTCAAGGTCAGACAGTAGGTGATAGATGACAAACGAGACTCCAGTTATGTACTTATTTAAAGTCTCAATTTATATTTCCTTGCCTAGATAATACACAACTCATATCCAGGCTTGTCAGACAGTCGAACAACAACTAACACTACGTATCTATACTTCCATTGATAACAACAAATTCGATAAGATTGAATAATTGACTAGATTATAATTTAACGAAACAGAAAACACAAGTAGTTAAACACAAACAAATTATTCTGAGAAAAAGTTTATTTATCTAAAAGCCAAAAAGAAAAAAATCAGATAAATAATAAAGAACAACTAGTCTCCTACCTAAACGTACATTGTTATAATTCATTAAGTAATTGGTAGTGGAATTCATTAAACTAATCAAACTATGTAGCAATGTTAGTTTTTAAACGAAAGACAACGTAAATAAATGTCGTTCCATACAAGTGTAGCGGTTAGTTTAGACTAGAAATTTTCACTTGAATAGTTTCAATAATCAAAAAATAGTCATGTTATGGTTGTATTTAACAAAATCAATATTAGTTGCTAATTTACTATTTATTTAAATACTTAATACACATCGATTTCGGTACAATTGAGTCTCAGAATAAGTATTCATCATCCAAATAAGGAAATTTGATTGTGAGGAAATAAAGTAAGGAGAAAGGGTGCAAGGGCAGTTTTTGCAAGCTTAATGAAGTACTTAAACAGGAATAATATATATTTGTAAAATCTCAGCAAAAGAATTTGAAGTATTGAAGATATTTTCCTTGAAAAAGCTTGGACCAGATTGCCAGGCGAAACGTTGGATTTACTTCAAATTCTTTCGCTGAATTTTTACAAATATATATTGTTCCTCTTTAATGACTCACATTAACTCGGCGCCCAAATATTGTGAAACTTTTTGTTCAAATTTAGACGAAAGTTCTTGTTAATGAACTACTACTTTCACCATTTCGTTGTGCATCCGATCTTTAACAGACAGAATAGTAACACAACGGTGTCACGAATGATACAGTTTTGTATATGTTGATTTATTTATCAATTTTAATAGGTTAATATCATCTGCTAAGTCTTCATCAGGACTCATACAGTTGAGTTGACAGATGATTCGCTTTCATATTTCTGAATTAAGCGTATTGAAATGCATATAGGGGATTCGTCAAATGCTTTTATTTCCTATTAACAATGCTCTTATAGGATAGGGAATATATATATCACATACCTGAGAAGCATATATATATATATATATATATATATATATATATATATATATATATATATATATATATATATATATATATATATATATATATACAAGTATTAATAAATAGCTGTCTACGCAAGATACTCAACATCCATTGACCGGATACCATCAGCAACAGCCTTCTGTGGGAGAGAATAAATCAGCTTCCAGCTGAAGAAGAAATTAGGTAAAGACGATGGAAATGGATAGGACATACATTACGCAAATCATCAAACTGCATCACGAGACAAGCCCTAACTTGGAATCCTGAAGGGAAGCGTAAAAAAGGAAGGCCAAAGAACACATTACGTCGGAAAATAGAAGCAAATATGAAAAGGATCATTAGGAACTGAAAGGAGCTGTAAAGGATTGCTTTGGACAGGGTTGGTGGTGAGCGGCCTATGCTCCTTTGCGCGGAGTAACAGACGTAAAGTAAGTATGATATAGAGACCAGCTTGAGTGAAGTGAAATCATAGGGTAACGTTATATATAAGAAATTCGTGCTTAAAATTAGTTTAATATTTCAATATTCTTACTTCACCAGCTCGTTGATTATTCAATGGATCACTAATAAAAGGATTTCTGTGTGACCTCATCATAAACAACGTAAATTTAAACAAAACATGATTTAGGATTGAATTGATTGATTTATTTACTATGTAATATATAGATCTTGCTTTTGAGCGCTAAATAATACGAAACTTAGGTTCAGAGTTTTTTGTCAACTACCTTCAACCATCACTTTGCATCTCAACAAAGTAAAAACGATGTTAAGCCATTTGTACCAGTGGCCATATTGGAAGGTGATCGATAGAATTCAATTAACATTAAAGAAGGGCCTCACTTACGTGACATTAAACACTACTCACCTGCGAGACTGATATGTTCTGAGTTCGTCGTGGATATGCACTGCTAAGGAGTCCCACAATAAGAAGAAATGGCCGTCCAATGCTTCCAGGTTTTTCATAGTGGTTTAGCTTCCATTAACTCATGATTTCAACTATTGAATATCTATTCATTTAAATCAATCAATTCACTTCTAAACTTACATAAAACATAATCATTTTTAATCCTAGTAACATAATAAAATGTTTTTACATGTAACGGATAAAATACATGAATTCTGAAAAAGTGAAAATCATATATGAAATGAATTGCCTATAATTTAAAATGCTCATACATATAACTGTGACGAATACCAGTTAGAATATAAAACGCGTCGCTAGCCCCATTTCCATCTCTTATATACTAATCCTTTTTTTAATAACTGAATGACTAAATCGAGGCAATCAGCAAAGGATACATCTATATCAACTGGAACTGAATTTAATTCCAATCAATGGGATAATTCATATTATAATTATTACTACAGATTAATCATTCGTTATGTTTCTTTTGTAACATATTAAACTGAATGTTATGTTGACATCGAGTAGTTGTTATCATGTATTATGTGAATATGTATACATTATATATATATATATATATATATATATATATATATATATATATATATATATATATATAGTTATAGTATGCTAATTATATAAGGTCAAGGTTGGATTATACTAATGAAGATTCATGTTGGTTGGAAAAAAATGTTTCTATTTGGGTTTAATCAATGTATATTGATTATTAAATGTTACGCATAAGATATATTCCTATTATTTCATTTACGGAGTTTATTCTGAATTTAGGCTAGATCTCAACTCAATCATCTTACGATACATTATAGTGAGTATATTGTATTTTTTCTTCAGTCTTATAAATCAGTTATTAGGTGTTTGGAGATAATCGAGAGAAAATGATGTTTCATTCTATCTGATACTCAACAATGGAATGTATCTGAAATCTTAAGAAAGTTCTTCCTCGTTATAGGACTGTGTTACCCTATGTTACAGTCGGATTATCGTTTAGATAGCTCCTCGATAACCTATTTGATTAATACATTGCACGAGAAATTCAATTTCCCATCAAGCACATTAGTTTTTCTCAGGATTAAAGACATTTCTTGCTAATGATAACCGACTGAGATGATGATACATATATCCTTTTAGTGTCTCACGTTTGCCTTCAAGCATATATGCTTTAACTAGTTTGAAATACAAAATGGTCTCAATTTTTGACCTAACAGATCAATCCTAGCTTCGTCAGAGAACTACTGGAAACTAAGATTATCATATAGGTATTCCATTCTAATGTTACTTCAGAATGAATCATATTATTCCATCTAGCTGGCAGGACTGATACATATAGTTCACACGTGATATGTAAAATCAAATGATGTCGAGTTAGCCAACCGGCTAGTTTGATATTATATTATGCTTGTTACAATGTCTAACAATGTTTGCTTGATCCCTGTTATCGAAAATGACTATCTACTTCCGAAAATTCCAAGTCTAAAATTGACATCGCAACAAGCACTTTTGCCTTCACTGACTCTTCAGTTGCTGTAAATTAATAAGAAATTTTCACGTTGATTTAAAGTTTACGAAATATTAGGTCAACGATAAACAAACGGATCCAATTGAAATAGCTACACTTGTCTACATAATTTTAATTGATTGTATTGATATAGCGTATCTATTTGAACTTATATATGTCAGATTCTACGTTCCTTATGACTGACTGATCCAGTGACTGACTACGATTGTGGTCAATCTGTGGTGCGGGCTACTTATATTAACATA